GTGGTGGCGGGTGTCCTGGTGAAGAAGGAAGGCGACCACTCCCCCCAGCAGTGTGCAGGCAGCCTGCAGTGCCAGCACGGCCAGCCCCAAGGCCAGGGACAGCTGGCACTGCCATGGGCTGGTCCACAGGGACAAGCCCCAGGCACGATGGCTGCTGGGGGTCGGGGGTGGGGAGGCTGGAGAGGGGCTCGTGCTGTCTGATAGTGTGGGGATGGGAGGCGCTGGGAGCAGGACGGTGCCTGCCCGGGCAGGAGTCTGCTGGGGAGCAGCAGGGGTGGGCTGGGCACCAGCTGTGCACAAGTCACAGGTGGTGGAATAGCCCCATTCCCTGCCCGGTGCAGGAGCACGCTGCGATGGTGAATGTGAGGCCAGCGGGACTGTGCCCAGAGCAGCAGTCCTGGGGAGGGGCCAGAGAGCCACGGAGGAAGCTGACACAAGGGGGGTTACGGGTGTTCCCTGTGGGATGGTGGCTGGCCTCTCCTTGGGCACTGAGGGAGCAGGAGGCTCCTGCCTGGTGGTGCCTGACAGTGAGCTCATTGGCACCTGTGTGGTGGCAGAAGCTGGAGTGGGGGGCACAGGTTCTGGGAGGGTGGCCCCGGGAGACTGTAGCCTTACGATGGCTGAAGCTGAAACAGCTGATGATGGGGTGGTGATGGAAGCCTTGGGCATCTCAGCTGAGGATGATGGTGTGGCAGTGGAGGCCTTTGGCAGCACAGTTGGCGATGAGGTGGTGATGAAAGCATTTGGTGATGGTGTGGTCATGAAGGACCTGGGCACAGTGGCTGGTGATGGGGTGGTGGTGGAGGTCTCTGGCAGCACAGCTGGTGATGGGGTGGTGATGGAGGACTTTGTCACGCTGGTTGTTGATGGGGTGATGGTGGAGGTCTTGGGCTTGTTGGTTGTTGATGGGCTGGTGCTGAAGGCCTTCTGCAGCACAGCTGGTGGTGGGACAGTGACAAAGACCTCAGATGGCTTGGTTGGTGACAGAGTGGTGAAGGCAGCCTCCATTGGCATGGTTGGCAACACCACAGAGGTGGCCACATGTGAAAGAGTGGTTGTCAGTGTCCTGATGGGAGAGGATGCCAATGACAGCATGGTTGGTGCTGCTGTGGACATGGCTCCACGTGACAGGAATGCTGATGTCCTTTGTGGCAGTGTGGAGTTAAATGGCAGAGTACCTGGGCAAATCAGGTGTTCCTCCCTCAGCAATGCTACTTCTTGCCCTGCCAGGTGGGGTGGGCTCTTGCAGGAGACTTGGGTGGACAATTTGACCTTCTCCCTGTTGCCCAGGATCCAGCGGTGCAGGTAGCAGAGGTTGCAGTCACATCTCCACGGGTTACCACTCAGATACACTGAGCTGAGCTTCTTCAGAGGGTCTAGGAGTCCTTGGGGAATACTCTCCAGCTGGTTCTTTCGAAGGTTGAGGGTTTTCAGATTTGGGAGAGAAGCAAAGACCTCTTCATCCAGAGCAGAGAGCTGATTTGTGTCCAGCTGGAGGTCCAAGAGCTTGCTGAGCCCAGTGAAGACCCCTCTTGGCAGGGCTGATAGCTGGTTGTGGGACAAGATGAGTTTGCCAAGGGATGTGAGGTTGCCAAAGATGCCCTCTGGAAGTGTGGCCAAATTGTTCCTGCCCAGATCCAGCTCCCTCAAGTGTGGCATGGTGTCAAAAAGGCAGCAGGGGAGCTCCATAATATGGTTTGAGCCCAGAGTCAGCAACTTCAGTTTGTTTAAACCAAAAAAACCCTGAGGTGGAAGAACCCTGATGAGGTTGTTGTCCAAGAGGAGTTTCTCCAGGTGAGGCAGGCTCCTCAGAAGCATGGGTGGCAGTGCCCTGAGCCTGTTGCTCTGGAGGCTGAGCTCCAGCAGCTCCAGCTGACTGTCTAGCAGACCCTCTGGGAGGTCCTGCAACTCATTCTCGTACAGCCGGAGGACTTGCAGCTGGGTGAGTTTGCTAAAGGCATTCACAGGAAGAGCTGTGATCCTGTTTCTAGACAGGTCCAAAAAAGTTAAATTGACAAGAGAGTCAAAAATGCCTTCTGGAAGAGAAGGGATTGCATTGATTTGCAGGGAGAGCTCTCCCAAACTTTCCAGCCCATCAAACAGGCCTTTGGGGATGGATCTGAGCTGGCTGTCTCTCAGCTCCAGCCTCTGTAAACTTGGGAGGTTTTGGAAAGTGCCCACAGATAGTTTTTCTAATGAGGCACCAGAGATGTCCAAGTCCCTCAACTTGTCCAAATTATCAAAGGCTCCAGGTTCAACAGTCTTGATCTTGTTGCCAATGAACAAAATCTTAATCAGGTTAGGCATGTACCTGAAGGCACCTTTACTTATAGAAGTGATGCTGGTTTGCACAAAGATCATCTCAGAAACAAAGGGCTTTGCAATCTTTGGGATCTCTTTGACATCATTTTTTGTCCCTCTGTAGACCTCCTGGTAGTCTCTGGGCATTTCGTATGGATCCTCACCCAGGATTTGATCTTGGCATTTATGGGGATTGAAAGACAGGAGGAAAAGGAAAAAGAAATGCTGGTACATTGTGCTGGGGAAAAAAAGTTTCAAAAATCAGTTATGAAGAACAATAAATCTCTGTCCACAGCTCATGAACGGTGGTACCACACTGTTGTTCAGCTCTCAACTCTTCTATTCACATACCATGACTCATTTCATGAGAAAGAGAGAATGGACAAGCAAACATACATGGCATTTACACCAGTTCACTGCTGTTGGTAGCAGGGGATGGAAAGAGAAGGCAAGCCAGCTCGTGGCTGGCACTGGGAGATGCTCCAGGAGGCACAAGGGCTGGACAGTCTGTTCTCTGGCCCTTCTCACATGTTTGAACTGTAGGCTCAGTCAGCCTGGCTGAAGAAGGCAAAGTGCTGCTGCCCATTAGTGCTGCCCCAGTGGGTCCAGTTAGTCAGCAGGGCAACAGCCCATTCATGCAACAACAGAAAGCACTCAGCCCTGCACTTGCTAATGAGGGATCAGCAAGGCTCCAGGAGCCAGCCAAGACCAGAGGACCTTGTGTCCTTAGAATTTACACACTGTGCTGGGTAGGCTTGCTATTTCATTGCCGCTCCTCTCAGTTCAGGGGGGGCTGATTTAAAACATGGTTTCTAAGCACCTCTTTTTCAGGATTCTTGCTAATTGTACCATATTTTGGCCTTGGTCATGACAGAAATAGTTAACCTGAGAACAGCAACCAAGCAAGGCTCATTAAAACCTTGGAATGTCCACAGATGAACAATTTAACACCTAACATTTGGGGCTCTGACCTTGCAGGTAGGAAGTGAAATCACTGATGTGCACTGACTAGTAGAGCCCACTTCTTCCACGGAAACATTTGGAAACACTCAGCTAACACATTAACTGGGGTTTAACTGCCATGAGCACCTCACTGGGACCATATTTCCGACTTTTAATTCACAGCCCTGGGTGGGAAGAGGGAAAAGAGGTACGAGTTTCTTCTTGGGTGACCATCAAAGCTGGCCATGCAAAAAAAACTTATTCTGGGAGGGTAAATCTACTATGAAGAGTTATTTTTTTTTAAAGAATGTTGAGATGTCAGCAAATACAGGAGACTGAAAGCCAGTGGGTTTGAAGAGAAATGGATTGGAGGTGACATTGGTTGTGCAGGCTGCCCCCCAGGGCTCCCAGGGCAGAAGCCACTGCTGATCCCTGCCCATCCTCTCCCCAGGGAGGTGGAAGAGCTGGGGCTGTGGCTGTAGAAGTGCCTGCTTCACTTCTGCTGCAGGGGTGGTGCAGTGGGTGAAATGTGGAAACATCTGAGGGTGTGGGGATGAAAATAGACAGTTTTGAACCACAAAACCCTTTTAAAACCCTCACTGTGCTCCTGTGCTTGTCCCCGACTCCAGCCTGGCAGAGTCATGGAGTGATGGTCCCAGCTCATGGCACTGAAGCCTTCCCTGCTCCTTGCTGCAAGGAAACAACCAACAGCCCTCCACACCGCCCCTCCCAGCACATTTAAAAGGGCAAAAAGAAGCATTTTGCATCACTTACTTGGCTGAGCACTTGCAAACGAGTTCAGCCACCAACGAGCCTTGCCATGGAGGAGTGAGGACACCAGATGGGGTCGCATCACCTGGCCAGCTCTTTATCCACATCCCAGGCACGGGGCTCAGTTTCACATGAGCTCAGGACACAAGTCTGTGTGGGGAGATAAGGGCTGGCCGGGGAGCCAGCAGAGGAGCTGTGCCCCCAGTGCAGGAGGCCACGGCAGAAACCCCTTGGAGGGGACGCAGTCACGTACTCCCCAGGCCTTATCTGCTGGCACCACCTGACTCGTCACATCCAGGGAAAGCTGAAGATCTCCAGGCCAGCCTATTTGCTGAGGTCCTGTATCTCCAGCAGGGTAACTCACCAGTTTCACAAACATCAGCCCCATCCACACAACAGACAGCTGTTAATTCCTCAGGATTTGCCTGATGTAGCTAAAAGTGCAGTTCTGAAGACATTTCTTAATCCTTATAAACAGTGAAACATTTGTGGCTCAACAAATACAACACCCCGGCTCTGTGCTCAGCCCCACAGCTCCACACCTTGCTGACCCCAGTGTTGTGTGCTGCATCCCAGTGCAAGCCAAAGACCCTCCCATGGTGATACCCAGTGCCCTTGGCTAGTGCAGGGCATCCTGTGGGATGCTCACTTTGAGGCAAACTGACAGGATATCCATTGCTTCCCAATGGGTAATTGCACTGGCTCCATTTAAACTTCCATTTTCACCCGCTCTCATAAAAGCTCAGCTTCTGCTTGCTGGGTTTCCTTGCACTTTTCTTGGCAAATTTAAAAACAAACTACTGCACATTTTGAACAGCCTTACCCCTTTCCAGCGTCAATGCCGTATCCATCCGTGTCCCCAGCGGGTTCCCCCGGCTGTGCCGGGCCCGCGGAGCCCGGTCCCGCTGGCCACGAGATGGTGCCGCAGCACCGCGGCACCGACAAGCTGTCCCGGCCCGCGGAGCCCGGCCCCGCTGGCCACGAGATGGTGCCGCAGCACCGCGGCACCGACACGCACGGACAGACAGACACGGACAGGCCCGTGCTGACAGGCACAGACACAGGGACACTCTCACACGGACACTGTGCGCTCACAGCCCCGTGTGTGCAGCCATGCTCACCCTCCCAGGGGAGCACACGCCTTACCTGTCACCCCTGGGCAGCACTGCTGGGACTTTGTGCCTCGTCTCCACAGGCCACAGAATCAGAATCCCCGGGATGGGAGAGGTTGGAAGGGACCAGTGGAAGACATCTGGTCCAACTTCCCCACTGAAGTAGGGTTCCTTGGGTACCCATGGCTCTGTTCACTTGTCTTTTTAATATATTCAGAGAAGGAGACTCTACAACCTCACTGGGCAACCTGTGCCACTCACCCTCACAGTGAAGTTCTTCCTCTCATTTACATGAAGCTTGCCACTTTCCATTTTCAGGCTGCAGGGCTGCAGACCAAGCCCTGACAGGGTAGGGGTGGGACCTGGTTGTGCACACCTGGGCTGGAGCTCACCCTGCAGCCAGGCAGCTCATCCCCCTTGCTGGGCAATCAGCAGCACTCACCCTCACCCACCTCCCTTGGACAACACAAATCCGTGTCCTCAGGTTTTGCCAGGCTGCAGCTGGGCCTCTCTTCCCTCTGCAGTGCCAAGGGAAGGTGGCTGCAGCAGGCAGACACGAGCACACCATGAGGATGCCACAGTGGCACCTGCTCACCACCAGGCAGCTGCACTGTGCCCACCATGCACAGCTCCTCACAAGATCCCAGTGTACCACATCGACCTTCACTTCACTCCCAGGCACACAGACAGAATGATTCCTCTCTCTGCCATGGGAACTAGCAGCACAGAAATAATAGATAAATTTTAATTATATTTGCAATACACAGGAAACACATAGCTGAGAGGATAAGTAGCACCGGGCCAGCTGCTGCGGAGAGCTCGGGGACAGCTGGGGACCACAGCAGCGGTAGCGGAGCGAGACGGAGAGCTATTTGTTTCCCAGGCTGGTTCAGAGGTTGCTGGAGCAGAAGCAAACGCCTGCCCAAGCCTTAGGGCAGCGTGGGCAGAGCTGGCGGTGTGGGCTGGCTGCCGCTCTGTGCTGTGACAAGGACGCTGACGTGCAGCGTGCCACAGCGGGAGCGCAGCAGCCAGGCCCCGCGGTAGGCCGGCCCCAGGCCCTGCTCCTGCCCGGGCGCAGGCAGGCGAAGGCTGAGCTGCTGGCACCTCGTGGCATTGCAGGCCACGCTTACCGTGCCCTCGGGGTCGGTGTAGGTGCAGTGTCCCGGAGCATCCGTGTGCCAGCCTTCCTCTGGGGGGACACCGTGTGCGCCTGGGCACTCCAGCTGCCCGCCGGAGACCTCCAGCAGGGACTGGCCCCGGAGAGCGGCTGGATCGGCACAGAAGGCTTGGCCGTGGATGAGGGGCTCGGCAAAGCTCTGGAGCCAGCGCAGGAGGTAGGAGAGGTGGCAGTCACAGACCCAGGGGTTGCCGGCCAGCCCCACACGCACCAGTTCTTCGTTGGCATCGAAGAGCCCCGGGGGCAGGCGGGCCAGGCGGTTGTGGTCCAGCGCCAGGGCGGTGAGGAGGGGCAGCCCAGCCAGCAGCCGCGCCGGCAGCCTGGAGAGGTTGTTGTGGCTCAGCTGGAGCTCTGTCAGCCCTGCCAGCCCCTGGAAAGCCGCAGTGGGCAGGTGATCTATGGCGTTGTGTGAGAGCTCCAGGGTTTCCAGCACTGACAGGTTAGCAAAGAGCTCCTGGGGCAGTGTCTCCAGCTGGTTGCGAGCCAGCGAGAGGTGGAGGAGGCCAGGGGTGCCAGCGAACAGCATGGCAGGCACGGTGGCCAGGTTGTTGCCCTCCAGGCTGAGGACAGTGAGGTTGAGGAGGCCTGTGAAGATGTCGGGGGCCAGGCTGCCCAGGGCGTTGTGCTGCAGCTGCAGCCGCCGCAGCGCCCCCAGCCTGGAGAAGATGCCGGAGGGCAGCTCCTCCAGCCGGTTGCCATCCAGGTGGAGCTCAGTCAGCTGGCCTAGTGCCCTGAAAGCACCAGGACGCACCCGTGCCAGCAGGTTGTCACTGAGCTTGAGGACACGAAGGGCGACAAGTGGGGCCAGCAGCCCATCCGGCAGCTCAGCCAGAGCATTCTGAGACAGGTCCAGGGCCCGGAGCCGCCGGAGTGGGCGGAAGATGCCAGGGGGCAGTGCCTCGATCTTGTTCCCTGACAAGCTCAGATCCTGCAGGCGGCAAGAGCCAGTGAAGAGCCCCGGCTGTAGGGTGCGGATGGTGTTGGCACTGAGGGAGAGCTTGCTGAGGCTGGTCAACCCTGCCAGCATCCCGAGGCTGACGGATGACAAGGGGTTGCCTGACACCTCCAGCTCAGTGAGGCTGGGCAGCCCCTGAAAGGCACCAATCTCCAGCTGCTGGATGTTGTTATTGATGAAGACCAGCTTGGTGAGCGTGGTGCTGGAGCCCAAGTCCCCGCTGCGGATGCTGCTCAGGGCTGTCTCCACGAAGAAGAGGTGGGTGGCACTTCCGGGCAGGCCCTCCGGGATCTCCTGCATCTTTTCGTTTGAGCAGAAGACTTTGGAGGTGTCATAGCACTGGCAGGTAGGGGGGCAGGATGGGGACAGTGCCCCCACCAGCAGGGACCCCAGCCCCAGCAGCACGTAGATCAGCAGCCTGCACTGGAGAAGGAATGAAGCCTTACCCACAGGCAGGCACTGCTGGGGAAAGGGCTTCTGCAGCCAGAATTGCAGCAGGATCAACCTCTGAAACACCACCAGCACAGGCAGCTGCCCTGGCCATGGGCATCCCTCCAGCCCCTGCTGCCAGCACCTCCCCAGCACTCCCCTTGCAGGAACGGGGAGCACTTCCCTCCCAGATGTCTCCCTAGGGTTTTTACTCTGTGTCCCAGCCCACCCTGTGACAACCAGGGCGATGCCACCCTCACCAAAGGTGGCGAGCAGCCACATCCTGCAGAGCAGCAGCTGAGGTGGGACTTGTGTGAGTCTGTGGAAGTCTTGGGAGAAACCTGTACCCTCATCAGATATCTCCATAGGCACAAAGCCAGGTTCTAGGGCAGGAGAATCTGTGAAACACAGGGCTGTGCTGTGCACACTGGGTGATGGGGACAGCCCTGCAGGGCTGCTCTGAGCTCAGTGGCAGTAGCTGTGGGCTCCGCCACTAGTATTTCTAACTGCCAGTCAGGTACTTCTTTTTTACAAGGAATCAGAGCAGCATCAACCTCATGGAGGGATATTCAGCCTGACCAAATGCCTATTCCCAGCCCACAGAAGCACTTTTTGAGGCAGTGGCCCCCAGACCTCTGCCAGTGTTGGGATACATGCCAGTGCTGCCTCGTGATGGGGGACATTGCCCACCCCAGGGCAAGGCCCACCTACAGACACCCTGCCCCAGTGGAGCTCTCCTGGACTTACACCGGCACTTGAGAGCAGCACTGGCTTGGCATTTCCTTTCCTCCATCTCACTTGTGTTCCCCAGAGCCAACACAGGCTCCCACCCATCCCAGGCCCCCGAACTACCCAAGCAGTGTGGACACCACTTACCAAGTGTGGCATCACAGGGACGGTGGCCGAACCTGCAGCAGATTTGCAGGGATGCTGCTTGCTGGGATGGGACGGTGTTTTCTGGGGCAGATGGGAAGCCAGCCGAAGCCAGGGACAAGCTGTTCCTGCTGGGGCGGAGCTGCCTCTCGCTGCTTATCGGCAACAACAACCCGTGTCCTTGGAGCACTGTGAAAAATAACCCGGCCTCCGAGGGACTGGAGGTGAGGCCAGAGGCAGCTGCCTGTGAGCATCCTGGCAAGGAAGTGGGGTTCTGGCCCCGGACATCCACTGCTGCAGGGATGGTGGCAGGCTCCAGTCCCACACCAAGGTCAGCATACTTGCTTCCAGAAGCCCCCTAAGAGAGCCCCAGAACTTCATTAAATCTCACTGGGAAATGGTGCTCAAAATATCTCTGCCATGAGAGAAGCAACCAGGGCAGCTTAGCAAGGCAGATGAAGGCTGTACATGAGGTTAGAGGTCTTTTCCAACCTTATGGCTCTTTGGGGAGGGGACCACTGTGGGACCATCACGGTGGTCACCAGGGCTTTTGCATCCCAGCCAGCAGTGGGATGGTGAGGGAGCCATGGTTCAGCTGAACTCCCTGGAAGTTTCAGCCTGCCTGGAGGAGCAGCACACACTACCATAAAAGCTGCACTGCAAGGGCCTGTGTTAGCCCAGGCTAGGCTGGCAGCAGCCATGGAGACACCCTCAGGGGTAGGAGGAGGGATACTTCACTGCACTCAGTCAGTCTCATGGAGCAAATGGTGACACATGGAAAAACACAGCTGACACAACCCAGGGGCAGCCAGCTCTGGAGTGAGCCAAGCAAGCTTCCCACCACCCCAGGAGTGGACTGTGCAGGATGGAGAAGCATGCTGAGGTCTCAGCTCACTCTCCAGAAGCCCACCCACTGCTGTTGTATGGCTTAGCCCTCCTTGGTCCATCATCCCAGGCTGGAGTCCAGGGACCAGCAAGGGCTCTGCAAACACAGCCCACTAACCCTCTCCCAGCCTCACCAACTCATACAGGCTTTTCCTCAACACCTTAAAAATCTCTGAGGAATGGAAATCAAGTGCAGCCCCTGTCCCTGCTGGGCCATTCCCCTGCTGCCCACCATAAAGGAGTGAATAAACAGCTCTTGGCACTTGGAGTGGACAGTGGCACTTTAATGAGAAGACACACATCAGCACCCAACATTCCCGTGACACAGTCATGAGTCTCCTGTTACCGTGCAGGACTCGGCCCACAGGGGTGACCCATCACATGCACCAGCATGCACCAGCACTCCCTGCTGAGGTGCTGTGAGCAGCCAGCACTGCAGGGGGGACACCAACACCCACCTTGTCCCACAGCAGCAGTCCTCAGGAAGCCTGGTGCCACTGCAGCACACACGGAGGTGAGCTCAATCCCCCATGGTCGTGCTACAGCTGGAGAAGGCAGCTGGATACAGGGGATACAGGGGGGATGGCGTGGCTCCCATTTGCAAACTGGAGAGCAGCCAGCACTCTGTGCTGCCAGCATCCCCCCTGGCAAGGGCTGCCACCCAGCAGGGGCACTGGGCATACACAGGAAGGCACTCAAGGGAGTAAGAAGAGGATGAAGAAGCTATTAGTGGTCAAGCAGAGCAGGACCAGGTTGCTCACTAGCTGGTGGAGGGTGTTAAGGAAATGAGGACCAGGAATGGGGTGCAGCAGAAGCAGCCCCAACATGCTCCAGCAATTCAGGAGCACGAGCACAGGAGCTTCTCCCAGCCCCTGCAGACGCTTCACACCCATCGTCCCACTCCTCCACCCTCACAGTGCAAGCCCCTGGCACCCTGTGGGGCTGAGGCAGGGTGCTGCAGGCAGGGACACAGCCACAGCAGGGTCAGCACCAGCACGCAGTGAGGGCTGGGGGGCTGGTCCTGCCCATCCCTGATGCCAGCACACTGTCCCGTGGCTCTCCTGGCTGGAGGTGCATGAGGGGAGCAGGCAGATGCCAGGAGCAGGAGAGGGTGCTGGCTGTGCTCTGGCCTGCCCTGCCTGCAGGCAGGGAGGGCAACTGGGACGCAGCTGAGACACTCAGGGTGTGCCAGCCTGGCAGCAGCACAGCCCCGCGGGGAGCCCTGCCCAGGCACCCTGAGTGAGGAGCAGCAGAGGACACGCAGCTCCCGTGGGGCAAAGGTGTCATCCTGGCCCAGAATGATGGCTCACACTGCCTGCCCAGGCAGGGGCAAGGAGGGAGGCGTGGTGGGGCAGAAGGTGGGGAAGAACAGCTGAGCAGGGGTGAGGGCAGCAGGCAGCATGAGGGCAGCAGCACTGCAGGGAATGGGGCAAGGTGAAGGATGGGGAAGTCCTGTTATGTGGGGTAAAGCACCATCATGGCCAGGCTGTGGCTCCTGGCTCGAGAGGTCCCTCTCTGCATCCCACACCTCAGCTGCTGGACCCGGGCAGGAAATGAGCACAGAGGCTGCACTGGAGGCAGGAAGGGCTGGGGACAGTGGGCAGCTGGAGGTCTCTCGTTGGGGAGGCCCTGCTGCAGAGCAGGGGCAGAGCAGGACAGTGGCACACACAGCGCACACGGTGATGTTGTCCCATCCCAGTCAGCAAGGGCAGCTGATGCAGAGCCACTGTCATGTCCTTTGACCCCACAAGCACCTCTGCCCTCAGGGTTTGCCAGATGCTCAAGCTTCATTCGGAGCCTTCATCCTCATGAGCACAACGTGGCTCTTCTTCCGACAGCCATAGACCACCAGAGCCACCAGAGCAGCCAGCAGGGCCACGCACACCAGCACGATGACTGCTACCACCACCCCACTCTGCAGGCGTGTCAGACCCCACTGCCCCCTCTCTTCCTCCTCCTTCTTCTCCTCCTCATCCTCCCGTGGGGAGGCTGGCAGCCCTGTGGGGGGCTCCATCGAGGCATCTTCTGCTGCTGAGGCATCATCTGATGCTGCCTCCGAGGCGTCAGCAGGGAGCAGGGTGCTGGGATGAGGAGCAGCAGTGGGGGCCTGGGGGTCGAGGAACTGGTCCTGTGGCAGCTCGGCGATGGGGATGCCCTGCTGGGTGGGAGGCTGGGCACACAGCGGGGCGATCTCACCCACCTTGTGAGGGTTCTCCTCCAGCCAGCCCTGCAGGGGCAGGATGTCCTTGTCACAGCGCCAGGAGTTGTTGTGCAGCCTCACCTCTCGCAGGGCAGTCAGCGGGGAGAAGATGCCGGCAGGCAGGTACTCCAGGGCATTGGAGTGCAGCTGCAGATGCCGCAGCCCAGGGGTGGCCCTGAAGAGGCCCCGTGGCAGCGCCTGCAGCTGGTTGTGGTGCAGAGAGATGTTCTGCAGCTTGGGCATCCCCTCCAGTGCCCGGGCATCCAGGCGGCGCAGGGCATTGGAGTGCAGCGACAGCTCCAGCAGCTCCCCCAAGCCCTGGAAAGCGCCCGGTGCCACCGACCGCAGCCGGTTCTTGCTGAGAACCAGGAGCTGCAGCTGGGTGAGGTTGCTGAAGACGGCAGTGGGGAGGGTAGAAAGCTCATTTTCGTAAAGCCAGAGCTCCTGCAGGTTGGGCATGGGCCCAAAGGCACTGGGGGAGATGTCCCGCAGACGGTTGACATACAGGGTGATCTTGGCGAGAGCATGCAGAGGCAAGAAGACGCCGCTCGGCAGAGTGGTGAGGAAGTTGTTGGACAGGTAGAGCTTCTGCAGGTTGGTGTTGTGCACAAAGAGCTCCGGGGACAGCGTCTCCAGCTGGTTCTGTTGCAGCCCCAGCTCCTGCAGCTCTGGCAGCCCATCAAAGGTGCCCACCGGGATGTGCCGGAGCCGGTTCTCGTAGAGCCGCAGCACCTGCAGCCGCGCCAGCCGCTCGAAGGCACGGGGCGGCAGGCGGTCGATGTTGTTCCTGGCCAGGTTGAGCTTGGTGAGGCTGGTCAGCTGGTCAAACACCCCCTCCTGCAGCTCCTTCAGGTTGTTCCCGTGCAGCTGCAGCTCCTTGAGGTTGCTCAGATGGGCAAAGTGGGAAGGCTCGACCTGGAGGATCTGGTTGCTGGAGAGGAGCAGAGACTCCAGCTTGTCCAGAGGGTGAAAGACCTGCACAGGGAGCTCCTGCAGCTTGTTGCTGGCCAGGCTGAGGTAGCGCAGGTCGGGCAGGTTCTGGAAGGCCCCGGGGCTGATGCGTGACAGGGCGTTCTTCTCCACGCGCAGCCCGATCAGCAGGGAGGCGTTGCCGAAGGCGGCGTCGCCCAGCTCGGCGATGCCCGTGTTGATGATCTGCAGGGTCATGGCGTTGGCAGGGATGGGGCTGGGGACTGTGGTGATGTCGGCACCAAAGCACTCCACCTGGGCACTACGGACACACTGGCACTGCTCTGGGCACTGGCTACTGGCCAGCTGGATGCCCACCAGCAGCAGCAGCCACCGCTGCCAGCCTCCCTGCTCCATTGGGCCTGCAGAAAAAACAAAGGAGGGGGGGTTCAAACCTGGGGGTTCCCAGCTCCCAGAGCCACTGCAAGGGATGGGTGCTGCTTTCCCCCTGGAAAAAGCCACCGAGGCTGTAGCCATCCTGCCTCCAACATGGCAACGAGGCAGAAAAAGGCAGACAAGGAAGGCTTGGGGCAGGCAAGGCTTGACTCAGCCCAGGCAGGAGCTCACAGCAAGACAGAGCTGGCGGCCACAGTGCCTGGCTGCCATACCACAGCTATTAGTGGCATCCCTGGCGTCCCAGCTCTCTGGGCTCCTCTGGCAGCCAGAAGTGTGGTTTCCTGTTTTACAGAGTGTGGCAAGCTGCAGCCAGCAGCACCGGCCTCCCGGCACCACCAAAGAGCCCAGATCTTCACAAGAGCTGGCTCATGGCACCTGCAGTGGGTCCCAGCATTGCCCCAGTGCCCCCAGCATCCTCTGAGGTCTGAGCTCCTGTAGCAAAGCCAAGAACAGTGCCTAGGGATGCTTTAGCCCCAGCCCTGCAGGAGCCTGGGTCAACAGGACCCTTGCCAGCTTCCCAGCACAGGCTGGGTACAGGCTGGCCCTGAGTTCCCCCATCCCTAGCAGGAGGTCTCAGCCTGGCCTATTTTTGCCATGAGAGGGGTGTCTGATGTGGGCACGTGTATGCAGGCTGGTCCCAGGCTGGTCCCAGCAAAGCTCTCCATTACCCCTGAGCACAGATACCATGGACACCCTCTCCTCTCTCCTCTGGCCTGTGAGCTTCCTCCCTCCCTAGATTAAAGCAGCAGCCTTGTGCCAGTCTGGCATGGAGCAGACCCCATTAACACCTTCAGGTGGCACAAGAAGGGGAGAAAACCTGCAGCTCCTGCTCTGAGCACTGCTCAGCCAGACAAGTGACTCAGGCAGCACAGGGGTCTGGCCACAGTGCCCCAGCTGGCCCCCAGGGTATTTGGGCACAGGCTCTGCCCTCCTCCCTGCCCTCCCCACAGGGAACACTCTTGCTCTCAGGCAGGGAGGGAGGAACCCTCCCCAAGCCAGCGTGGTTTATGTTTCCCATATGGAAACAATCTGCGTCCAAGAACAGCTATGTTTATAGCAAGACATTTATAAACTTCCCCAAAAGCTCGGCACATCAAAAGCCCTGCTCATGTCACTCCCTGGTAAGGCAGCACTGAGAGCACACACACTGGAGCAACCTTCAGGAAAGGCAGCTGGAAACAATTGATATCTCTTTTTCTTCTAGGGATAAAAAACTTACAGACCAAGAGGCTGAACATTCTCTGCTGCTCAGCCCCTCAGCATCCCACTGTTCCTAACATCCGCCGCCCCAAAATATTACTTTGCCCTCTTTAATTTTCTCTGTTGATCATTGTCTGGGATACATTGCCTATATAATTCTTTCAGCTCCCACAGCATCTAAGTGGTCTCACTTTTTCAGAGAACCATTGCAAGATAAACATCTCCATCAAATAAAAAGTTGCTGTACATGCAAATCCCACCACTCCACCACCACCCCTCAGAGCTGCCCTGGCAGTCCCTGGAATCCGTGTCCACTCAGAGGGGCAGTAGGAGAAGGAGACTTACCCGAGTGTCCTGCAGCCACGAGCACTGAGCGAGCTCAGCTCTGTGCTGGCAAGAGAGCAGAGTGTGGTTCATTCTTCCCCTCCCAGTATATAACCCGTCCAAATCAATGAATCAGCACAGGGGCAGTGGCGGGGTTAGGGAAAGCGCTGGAGCAGAGCTGCTTCCAACTCCTATTTCCTCAGCAGAGCAAGCATTTCAAGGATGAGTTTTGGGTTTCCCCCTCCTGAACCCCATGCTCTTGTAAGAAGACAAGCAGAGAGCACTGTGAACATGCTGCTCATATCAGCCAGTGCCCAGGCAGTGGCTTGACCCTCAGAGTCCCCCTGGTCCCCAGTGGGACACAGCCACTGACCCATGGGGGCAGACCAGCAAAGCCGGACCCCTGGGCACAACCCTGTCCTTCCCTGGCACGAGTTCACACCAGGGCTGCTCCATGGCACTTCCTTGGCACAGGCACAGCTCTTGTTTCCCCATCTATGGCTCCTGTAAGTGTCAGGACCTCTGACTGTGCCCCAGCCCAGGGCCACCAGTGCAGGCAGACCCCTGGCACACTGCCCCTGCCCAGGTCACAGCTTTCATTCCCCCCACAGCCACAGATGCCAAGGGGCCACAAACCCATGAGCACCACAAACAGCACTGCCAGGAAGCGAGAACTGTGCCAGGGTCAGCAGCTGTGTGGGGCCAGGCTGCTTCAGAGAGCCCTCAGTAAGCCAGAGCATTGCCCACAAGCCATGAGGAACACCTTGGCACAGAGGAACCCCCACTGCAGGGCATCCCTGGCACCCCAGAGCAGCACAACAGCTGTCTCCCAGTGGCTGCCCCTGCTCTGCCCCCTCAGCAGTCCTGACACACAGGTGATGGAGCCTGGTACCCAGGGGTGTTTGGAAAGCATCCATCAACTTGTTCAGGGGCACCTGCTGCCAGCCCTGCCCCTCCAGCACACATGGGTGCACTGGGGTGCCCGTGGGCCCCATCACCCAGCCCAGGTCTCCCCACCTCGCCCACCTCCTCCGGGCAGTCCCAGTCCAGCAGCTGCCGGGAAAGGATATTCGGGAGGAAGCAGCTAAGGAGAGTCAGCACACGTGGCCCCTTTGGGCTTCCTGGAGAGCCACTGCAGTCCCTTGCTAAGCATGGGGCAGCTGGAACTTCCCTGCCTGCCTCTAACGCAGTCTCACCCCAGCCGCGCCTCCGCGGTTGCAGCAACCTCGGCTCAGGTTCCGGTGGCACCGAGGAGCTGCTCAGGATGGGAACAGCGGAGAAGGGGAGGAAATGTGTCATGCTGTGAGGGCTGGGAGCGTGCAGGGCAGTGGAAGGGACAGCTGCTCTGTTCAGAGAGGGGACCAGACCAGGACAAACAGCAAACTGCAGGGATGGAGAGCAGAGTTCCCAGACAGTCTCAAAGGAAGGAGACAGGGATCGTGGGAACATGGTAGGGAGTGGGACCTCAGCTGGAGGCCACGGCCAGCACGGTGTCACATCACATGGGAGGCCCATCTGCCATTGGACATGCTGGATGGCCACGGACCCCTCTGGCTGGAAAGTGGGTGCAGAGGCTGAAACTACCCCTGGCCATGCTTCCTGCCTGTTCTAGGGCAACACCCAGGCATTTGGGCACAGAGAATGGGCATTTTGAAAGCACCACCCACCAAGTGCTCTAGTTCACACTCTAGTGACACAGCAGTTTCCCAACACCACACTTCCCCAAACAATCTCCCCACTTCTGCGACAGCGCTGCAGCTGGAGGTCAGGCACTGGGCTTGGGAGCTGCCTGCTCCCTGCAGCCCTGGCACGAGAGCTGGGCTCTCACAGCCTTATCACAGTTCTGTCTGTCCACTGCCAGTGCTGCTGGGCTTCTGCCCGCTCTGACTCAACCAGAAGCTCACAGCTTTTCAGCGAGGCAACGCAGAAACCAAACCTCAGCACTTCCGATAAACCACTGCTCCAAGCCCAGCTCATCCCAGGAATGTCGGACTCCCTCCTTCCACAAAGTGCTGCCCCAGGGCAGACAGGGATGCAGTGATGGGTACCTCAAACACCCTGCCCCAACAGGGGGGTTATCAGATTATGGTCCTTACCACGATGCAAAGTTTCAGAGCGGTCCACGTGACAGCCCTGCCAAAAACCCCCCTGTCTCTATCAGGCCTCAGGAAACTGCCTCTGGCTCCCGTCCAGAAAAGATGATTGTTTTTAAGACATCCCTAAAAATAAAGCAGGGTTGAGTAACAAACGGCACACGCCCGTGAGCCACTTCTGCAGCCACTCCCAGAGGTGAGCACACAGGAGGTTGCCCCAGGCTACTTACAAGGGAGAGGAGCAGAGGGTGTGAGCGCTTGGGACAGCAGCACATACCCACCCCACACATCTGGAGGGGAGCGGCAGCTCCTGAGACAGCAAACGGATGTGATTGAGGGTGAGATTAGCATTTTGCAGGGAGAGGCTGTTCCACATGGCCAGGAACTCACACAGTGCTGGATGGAGTGGGTCTCATGCTGCAGGAAAGCCCCAGGACTGACTGGTGGACCCTTCCCACCTCCAGCTGCAGCACCCTGAGGCTGAAGCCCCCCTGACCAAGCCCTGGACAGAGTGGAATCACTGTTGTATCCCTCCACCTTCAAGGAGACAATGGAGCCCCAGAACAGCAGTGTCACTTATTGCTGGAGCTGTCTGCCTTGCTACAGGACAGCAGGACAGTCCTGTGTCTGTCTGTCCATGCTGGCACATCTCCAGCACATCCCCACGGCCAGGGTGGCGGATGCAGCAAAGCTGAGTGGCTATGAATCACCAAGGGATTCGAGACTGCTTGGAAAAACTCATGTAATCGCTAAAATTAGCAGCTTGTGGGCTTGGCTGGGAGAGCACATCGTTCATCTGCCAAGCAGCTGAGCATGCTCACCCACGCCATGCAGATGCAGTTTCCCCCTCAGCCCCTGCTCCTGCACACCTCCAGCTCCTGCCTGCACTGGCACCCTGGGCAGGGTGGGCTCTCCCCATGGCCTGCAGTGCAGTGCTGGGACCCCCCAGTTACTGTGGGCTGCTGCAAAGGGCCCACCCTGCTGTGAGCCCCCGCCCCGGTGGCCCCGGTGCGCACAGAGGCCAGCTGGCCCCGGCTGCAGGCCAGACGCTGCTGGGGCGCAGGAGGAGGGTGGGCTGGGGGCCACAGCGGGAGCCCAGCACAGGGGAACACCTCTGGGGCTCAGCCCTGCAGGACCCACGGGCCCACAGCACAGCTGAGGGGTGAAGGAAGGGACATTAGTCCCTCAGGACTGGTGCTGGGGCCACTTCCACCCTTAGAGAAACACCAGCAGCCCCTGCCTCACCACGGGCCCACCCTAATCCTTTGAGGAGCCCAGATGAGAGAGCTCCTCCACAGGGCGCGCGATCCAGCCCTGGTGACATTTTCCCACGCTGCTTGCGGAATGCAGGGCCAGGGCTCATGCCATCATCTGCCCCAAGGGACGGGGACATGCCCTGCCTTCCCTGGGAAAGAGCCTGTGCAAAGGGGGAACTTCGCAGGGAGCAGCAGCAGCTTTGCTGAGCAGGGATGGCCGTCAGGCTGACCTCCATCCAGGCACCAGCCCCAGGCCCACCGCAACCCTCCTGGAGCTCAAGGAAAATGGCACTTATGGCCTCAGGCTCCAGCGGGGCTCACCCACCAGCAGGACCGTCTCCTCCAGCCCAGCCCTGGCCCGAGCGATAGCAGCAGCACGCAGGGCTTGGCCCGGGGCAGCGCTGGGCTGGAAGGAATGCGGGGCCCGGCCAGCTCCGCCTGCTGAGATAATCCGAAGCGGAAAGAGCTCGTCCGACTGCGCTGTGAGAGGGGGAAGGAGCAGCTGGAGCGGGACGCCATGGAGGGGGCTCATACGCTGAGAAATGTTTCCTGGATCGGCTCCATCTCTGTAAAGCTACCTCTGGCACCGCGAAGTGTCCCAGGGACCTCTTCCCAACACACGAAGGGGGAAGGGGCCTCATTTCTTCCCAGGAGAAGCCAGCAGAGGAGTGAACAGCAGACTGCAGAGCTGCTGCCAGCCATCACTGGCTCCCTGCCCTGAGCTTTTCCATGCAGAGACACACAAAGGCACAGCTGGAGGGCTGGCATGCCGGCCCTGCAGCAGCAACTGCTGAGGGCTGAGCCCAGTGGTGGATGGGTCCGGGTGCTGCTGGAACAGAAGCTCCCACCCTGTAGTGAACTGGGACTCACGCCCCTTGGCCCAAGTAGGAGACTATACCAGGGCTTATCCACCACAAACACACACAGTATAAACCCAGATTTTGGCTACAAAAATGGAGGCATAACACCTCCCTAGTTTGCTACTCCCTAGCTGGGACAAAGCTGGAGCTTCAGGCCTTCTGCTCACTGGGAGGCTGTAAACTCTCATGGCCTTGTCCAGTGGGAATGTGCCTTGGGCTGCGTCTCCTCCCAGCTCTTCTGACATCCCTAGGAAATGCTCTGATATCAGGGCTGCCAAATCAGCAGCTCTAGGCAAGCCCTGCTGGTTGCAGGCCTAGAGGAGACACAGCCAATGCTCCATAATGTCAGGCAGGGGCTCCCAGGGCTCCTGCCTTGTAGCCAGCAGCTGCATGCACTCCTGAACCACAGAGCACTGCTGGGAGCCTGCTCCAAGCACATCTGCCATCACCCACTTCTCTTTGACATCAGGACAGCAAAGATCTGAGGTGCAGGCTCTGATCTTGCCCCTGTGCATTGGAGGACTGAACTGCACTCACAGGCAGCTGCCCAAGCTCACTGCCCTCTGCAAGCAGTGACAAAGGCTCTCCTGCAGCTCCTGGTCTCAGGAGGCAGAGGTAGTGGGATGGAAAGGACCAGGACACCAGGGACACAAGGAAAGGATGTGTGTGCTGGTGGCTTGGAAGTGCTTGCTGCAGTGGCTGTGAAACAGGCAGAGCTGCCAGTGTTGGTGGCAGCAGTTAGTTAAATTCCCCCCTCAGCAACCTGTGCTTTGGGGACTCTGGATTCAAATCCCAACAAGCAAAGGAAAATGGCATTTGTAGTGACACGAAGTTGGAAACACAATGAATAGTCCCATGGCTTGGCACAGGGTAGGTCAGAGCTCCCACTGCTCCAGGATTTCCTCAACAGAGAGAACAGGAGCAACTGCTACAGCAGGAAGCATTTGAAGGGACAGAGCGAGCTGTGACTGGGCTGGCACGGCTGGCCTGGTGGTGAGGCACCCAAGCACTCCCAGCCAGGATGTGGTCCTGGAAGCAGGTCCTTGACCTGGAGGTCTGGATAACGTGCAGGGCTGTTAACCATGACTCTGCCCCCATCAGGAGCCAAGAGAGCAGAACCAGCCCCTTCAGCCACTCCATGCCTGTGCTTTGCATTCACCTCTTCTCCAATATCAGGGACCCGCTGGATCAGGGATTAGGTACCTCCAGTTTCTGACCTCCAGCCTGCTGTGCTCCCTTCCAGCCTGGTGGCAGAGGCTGGGCAGTAGATGATGCAAGCGTGGGCTGCAGGGACTGAGAAAATCCTTGCACACAAGGGAGCAGAGCTTTGAGGCAGCAGCGAGGCAGGGCTGCCCAGAGAGGGTCTGGGGACCGGCCTGCTGCCTTCCTGCCTGCCACAGCAGCATCATGCTGACCTGGACAACTGTCCCTTCTCCAGGAAAAACAGAAACGGGGTATGCACAAGGATATCCTTGGATTTCTCAGGCCAGGGAATTTTACAGGAAGGGCTGAGCTCCACTGGGCAAAAAACAATGAATCAGTGGCAGCTCAAAACAGGACACCTCAGAGGAAAGTTAGTAAAGCACCCCAGGCACTCATTGCTCCAGCCTTTTGTTGTCTGATGACTTCACTTCCCCCGTCTGGCTCCGGCGTGGGGAAAGCCCGATGACAGCATGTGAAGAGGAATCATCCTCTCCTAGCACTTGACTGTACAGAGCTCTGTGCCAGAGCCCCCACGTGCCAGAGCTGCAGCTCAGTGACTGCACCGGGAGCCAAGGAGCAGCGTGGGGGCCCAGCTGGCTCCACTGCAGCCAGGGCAGCCAGAGGAGGGCTCAGAAAGGCAGCAGCTGGTGCTGCCCTCGGGCTGGACAGCGAGGTGTCATACCCATACCATGGGCAAACAGGTGCTTTTCCTTAGAAATCAGACACTGTGCATCCGAGAGCCCGGAGCACACTTCCTTCACTGAGGTAACGACCACCAGCATGGTTTGTAGAACTCAAAGACAGAATTTCCTCACTAGTCCTGATTATACTGATCTGCCTGCGTGGCAGCGTGTGACAGCACTGGAGCTGGCACAGCACTAAGTGGTCATTACAGCTGTCCAACCAAGAACCTAAATTTGCAACAACTTTCTCTTCTTAAATACTATGTGCAACCACCCAGAACCACCACTGAGAAAGCTCACTGTAGGTTTTGTGCTTCTCTCAATTATATTGCAGTAAACATGCTGGAGCATCTGTTTATGATTCCAGTCACAGCTTGCTTTGCACCACTTGCAGCGACTTGCAGTTCTGCTTCTTTAGAGATAGCCCTAACTCCCATTTAGCCAGGTTTGCTAAATTTTCTTAAACCTCCCCAGCAAGACAATGATCATTTAACACTATAGAAGCACATTCTGTCTTTTCAAAGCCTGGAAGAAGAATTTAGGCCCAGCAGCAGAGCACTCTGAAACAAAGAAGTCACAGTTTATTCTCACTGCCTAGAGTAACACACAGCAGGGAACCAACCATAACCAACCTGCAGGAAATGCAAGTTTTCTTCACCTCAAATCAGTTGTGCATTTAAAGGCCATCCAGGAAAGTCCCTAATAGTAGGAAAGTCACTAAGGCTACAAAATAACTCCCAGAATAGAGGCTCTCTGGCCCAAGAAGCCAGGGATCCACACCCAGAGGGTTTTAAGCACATCAGAGCTTTTAAGAGCAAACTAAGTCCAATAATGTAGATAAAAGTTGATAGTTAAACCCAAGAGCTACTAAAGCACAGGCAGTCTGACAGCCACCAGTCTACCTATGAACAAAAATATTCATACAATTCAAAATATTAATAAAATGTTAGTATAAAGACCAAAACCCACACTATTGCCTAGCAGTTGCCTTTGCACATCAACACTTGAAAGGACTGAAAGTCAGGGAATAGCAGTATGTAATAAGGTCAAAAATAGTGAGACTGAAAACGTGACTGAACACTCCAAGTTGATGAAGTTGTGTATGTTCCACAGCCAACTTCAACATGGAGGTGACACTTTGGCCCTCAGTTCAGGCAGGCTCCCTGCCCCTCAGCTGCATGCTGCTGTTTTGCTAGCCAAGCCCAGGAGAGACCATTCTTTTCTCTCCCAGCTCAGTCAAGGTCAGCTCTCAAACCAATTCATCTCTGTGGAGCCCCTCCTCAGTCCTGGGCATCCGCCTGGTACTCTGGTTTCAAGATTCCCTGCATCACACAGCCAGGAGCGCCTTGTTTTTTCAGAACACTGGCCAACGTTTAAAGATGAAAGTGTTTACTCAAAATTCAGAGTTGTAGGAACTTTACAAAGTTTCCAGAGAACCTCCAATCAAACAATAAAATACACCAAGATTATACTTCCTAGCTCAGCAACTTCCTCTGCTGTTAGCTTTAATTGGTACCCCTTCCTTGTGTCATGTCCTGGAAAGGGGCTGAGGACAGAAAGCAAAAGTTAAGACACTTGCACCACACATTCTGCACCCATCCCCTTTGTTTAAAGGTCCTTCCCAGCATCTCCTCCCAAAACCACCATTTGTGTTCTCAGTAAGAAGACAAAAGATTGCAGGCAGTAGAGGAAATAATATTATTGGAGTACTTTGGGCAATCTCTAAAGCACAGTTAGAGCCATGTTCCTATGTAAGAGTTCCTCCATGGATGGCACTCCATCTGAGCAGTGAACACTCAGCAGGCAGCAGCCTCTGGCAGGGGACAAGGCAGCACTCCAAGGCAGGAAACCCACAGCACACGTGTAGGGGTGACACAGTACTTCCATCTTGCCCTCTGGGTTCATGCACTAAGTGCTGTGGCAATTTACAGTGATTCCAGCCACTTTTGGCAAATGCTGCAAGGTGGATAAAGCTCATTTCCATTATGTTATAAAGACAAGGTCTTTATGGTCTTTGCTATGAAGATCTGTAATCCAAATCAGAATCGAGTATTAACTGCTCAAATGTTCAAAAAGCATCCAAAGAATTCCAGTTCTTTCTTGGTCTAGATTTCTCTATCTTCTTAATATTCTTATCAGAACTACAGGCTGAGCAGGAATATTCCTGGAGAGCAAGAGTTGCCTGGTGTTACCCATCACATACAGACTGAGCACAATGACTACAGTCTGGAGTGTTAAAATCAAACTGTGAACACACAAGAATAGCTGGCAATAAGTAACTCTGGTATTAAAATAGGGTTTAGCACTGCTGTGGGCTGGAAACTCATCCCACCAGACAAGAGTAGTTAAATCTGTCCCTCTGACACTGTTGGTTCGTGCTATGATGCTGGGAGAAGTTTGGACTGGAACATCTGAGAAATGTAGCCCAGGTTGTCCAACATCTTCATCACGGGAGTAGGTAAAACCTGGAGTTGCAGGAGGAATTGTCGTGGGTGTGCTGGTGATTTCCATGTGGGACAGCACTGTTCCAGCAGTCTCCTGAGATGATGTGAAGTGCTCCGTCACAGGAGATGGCGAAGTGTGGGAATAAGTTGAGCTGAATGTCTGAGAGGTCATTGCTGTGGTTGGCAGGCACTCTGGGTCATCGATGCTTAGAGACACAAGAGAAACATTCTGCAGTGCCATTGGGCTGTGGCACATCAGAGATTGCACATTTTTAACTATTGCTGTGCTCTTTTGGAGCCATTCTCGGAAACCGAGAATTTGGCAATCGCATTTCCAAGGGTTATCGTCAAGGACAACTTCTTCCAGCTCAGGTAAAGCAGTAAAGAGGTCTGCAGGAAGAGACTGCAGGTTACTACTATTCAGGTAAACTTTCTGGAGGTGCTTGAGATTATGAAAGAGGTTTCTAGGAAGAACCTCAAGCCTTGTATCAAAGAGGGAAATGTTCTGCAGTTTCTGAAGGCTCAGAAAGATTCCCTCTGGCAAACTGGAAATATTACTTGTATGGAGAGAAAGGCCCCGCAGTTCATTCAGGCCACTGAATACATTCCTAGGAAGAACCGTAAGCTCTGGGTTAAAACTCAGCACAAGAAGCTCTAAATTTGTCAAGTTACTGAACACAAAATCTGGTATTGTTGAGAGCTTTGTGTGATACAGCCATAGGCTACCAAGATGTCTCATCTCTCCAAACAGTACTTCTGGAAGAGACTTCAGTGGGTTCCTGTACAAGGTCAGTTTAGACAGGTCATGCAAGTGCAAAAAAAGCCCAGAAGGCAAAACCTGAAGCCTGTTTCTGGAGAGTGTCAGCGTTCTTAGTTTACGAAGACAATGAAACACATCAGGGGCAATGGAATGGATATTATTGGAATGCAGGAAAAGCTCCTGCAGCTCCTTCAGGCTATCAAACATACCTGACTCTATGGAAGACAGCCTATTAATATACAGCATCAGCCTCTCAAGCCTGGCTAATGCACTAAATATATTTCTAGGCAGTGCTGCTAAGTAATTTCTTGACAAGTTCAGTACTCTGAGTTTGGCGAGTTTCTTCATCACGCCACCGGGAAGTGCTGTTAGTTGGTTTTTGTTCAAGTAAAGCTCCTGCAAACTAACCAGTTTGTCAAACAGATTCTCCTCGATAGACTTCAGCCTGTTACTTTCAATGATCAATTGCTGAAGCTGTACCATGTCATCAAATACTTCTGGGGGAAGTTCAACCAGTTTATTATTTAGCAGTTTGAGGACTGTGAGCCTTCCCAAGCCTTTAAAAGCCATTGGTGAAACCAGAGCAATGTTGTTTGAAGACAGGATGAGATGCTGCAGTTCCATCATCCTAGCAAAAACATCCTGCAAATACGATATGTTAGCATTTGTTATGTGAATTTCTGTCATGTTGCAAGGCAGATTTAACAATTCCAGGTCTTTTATGTGGGGGCCAGAGCAATGAATTGCATTTTTTGAAGAGCAGTCACACTTCTCAGGACAAATAGCTGCATCCAACTGGAAGAAAAGCTTGATCATCACTGACAAATGAAACACCAACATCCTTGTTGAAGTGCCAGAAACATTAGCTGTTACAAGAGATAAGAGAGAATCAGGATTTGATCATAGGTAACACAGCTCACAAAGATGTGTGACTATATCATAAACCTGCAAATGTGTGCAAAATTTCCCTTGCCTTGAAAGCAAACTTCAAAATCTCTTTTTATTGCTGACTGCCAGTAATTCTGAAGTGCTCAGTTTACACTGAAAAGTACAGATAAATGAACTTTTGTAAATCAAGTATTCCTTGTTTGTATTTGTACCAATTAACTATAATAAAAGTATACAAAAATCATGATGAAACACTTAAGTAGTCAAAAGACACGTATTTATTTGAACAGAAAAGCATTACAGAATCACAGAAGGGTTTGGGTTGGAAGGGACCTTAAGGATGATCTCTTTCCTTCTGACAGGGACATCTTCCACTAGACAAGGTTTAGTATATTATACTAAATTACATGCCAAAAATATTTTTCAAAAATTATCAAAAGGTCCTGCACTCACTGTGTTTTTCATTGTAAGTTATCTGAGGTTTAAAAATAAAGTTTAGCCTGCAAAAATAGACAATGGAGGTAAAAAGGTTGTCCTGTACTTTAAGTGGTGAAAAGCAAAACAGCAGTGTCCAGTTAAATCCTGTCTCAGCATTTTCAAGTGATGGCTTCTTGGAACAGCCCAGGAACACACAAGAAGGAACAGGCTATTTTTGACACAGCCTGAAATAACACAGAAGACCCCATATGGCACAGGACAGCACTGAGCCTCTGATAACCAACAAGCCTCATTTCAACAGCTTAACACAATACCAAGCTATCAGCAGTGGAATTAGAAGTACAGTAAAATGAGAGGAAAGAAGTGCACAAAATTAGATGGGAAGTTTAGCAATAAAGGTACATCTGCATGAAACACGCCACAAAGCTGGAAAGTTGCATACATTTCCAAACAAACAGGAAAGCAATCATTGTAGATGTAAATGGTAATATTTAAAAGAGCAAGTCAAACAGAAACCCACAGTCTAGAAATACTTCCTCAATGAAATCAACAAGTCCAAGTGTATCAGAATCCTGGATGTCAAGCACCTGGCTGAGCAGCAGAAAAAGCAGCAGCTGGGACCACTGGAATGGCTACAAAACTTCCACAGATGTAACTGGGGCAGCTGACACAATGTCAGTATTCTGACAGGAGCACGGTGGGGAGAGGAAGGCTCCATCGCTTTTTCAGGGGCAAGGCTGAAGCTCTCCCATAGCAATCCCACAGACAGAGTGTTGGGAACAACCCCCTTCACTTAAAGAGAAACCAGGAAGGACAGCAGAGCTTCTCAGGCATCTGAACTGCTGACAAGAACACACCACAATGGACCCAAAACAGCTCCAGGTCCAAACCAGCTACTGCATTAAAAAAAAAGCCAGAAGAGCAAAAGGGAGTGCTTAAAAAAAAAAAAAATTATTCAGCTTCAGAGTACTGAAGTCTGGTAAAATCTCTAACTCTCCCTCAGGAAGGGAAGGACGTGGCATTTAGGGCTATCAACAGCCAGCAACGCAGTGCCACAAAACAAGATCTCAGTGGGCTTTTCACAACTCATTGAATGAGACATAGGCATCACCAAAAAATAGCATAAGATTTCACTCTTCCAAAGGTCTTTCACATGTCAAAGAAGAATCTTTCAGAGAATCTCACCCTCCTAGTAATCCTCCCTACTCCAAAACTCTGTGTCATAAGCCAGTGATGCTTTTACCTTAATAAATGTGTAACTCACTCTGTCCCTGATCCTACCTATCCCCATGAGCAGAACCCTCCATCCAGAAACACATTAAGAAAATTTCTGTTTCAAGCCCTGACTTGAACCAAATGGATGGAAAAATACCCAATTTGTTATGGTAGAACTGCAAATGCAGGTCCCTTGGAAGCTATGACTACAGGCCACGCTGTAAAATCAGAAACAGACTAACACTATCCTGCAGGTCCATGATGACTGTTTTCCTGGTCTTATAGCAAAAGATAAGAGTATACAAGAAGACACGGTTAGATGCTCTGAAATGCTAGAAAGCACTAGTTTTGACAAACAAACAGCAAAATGGTAGACATTCTTTGCAAGATATGAAGGCTGTAAGTGCTGCCACAAGAACTGGAAAAGCCTATGGGTCTCAAACATCTAGAGCTGCTAACAGCATTAAAAAAAAAAAAAAACAAAACAAAACAAAGCATTTAAAGAGATTAACAGTACAAAATACAGTAATACCCACAATAAAGATCATAATTATACATTCCCATGCCTTAAAATTCTCTCAAACCCTCACACAAGACAGCTGGCATTCCAGAAAAGGCACCAGCCTGGCTGGTCATTTACCAAAGTTTTATCTACAGCCTCTTTCCTTTTTAGCACACCCCCCCAGTATTTCTCAAGACAACAAAAGGATGCCAGAGGCAATACATTAATACTCTAACTATATCAGAAGACTCAAATCAGTTTTGAACTTACAGAACACTGAGCACATGTATTGCTTACAGTGGTGCTTACCTCTTTTACTGTCTTGCAAGTTCCTAAACTCATACAAGCAAGAAAAAGAAATTTTGAGCTGTACCTTAGAAACTTATCTGCTTTTTAAAGGAACTTACTAGGAACAGAGCAGGCAATCAGGCTTCACCATGACAGTGCACTTTAAATGGGAAGTAAAAGAGCAGAACGCATCCTCTAGATAACACTTTCACCCACATGTGCCTGGTTACTGAGACAGGCCAGAGGCCAAACAATGTTTGAAGCTTCAGAGCAGATTTTTGCCTACAATTGTTCAAGCAACCAACTTCCACAGGTTGCATGTAACTCCAAAAGTAGGGCTTGAAGCCGCTCACATAACAGGAGAAAGTTTTAAGTCACACACCCAACAGCAGAAAACCCACTTGTAGCTTCTTTGGCAGTGACATTGGAGAATGTGCTTCAGCCAACCCAAAGCAAATCTGAGTGCAGTCAGAATCTACATTTCAGTGTGAGATGTGATCAGAAATTTCAAATTTGTCCCTGGTCTGCTAAATAGGTTTTGAAGGAGTGGACACATCCACTTTAAACCAAGTGCTCCTACCTTCACAAAGCTGCTCTGACTTTTAATAATTCTTGCAGGATTGGAGTCAAAGCAATTTCAGTAAGGAATGAAGGGGCTTTTTACTTAGTGCTTTGGCTAAGCATTCCAAGGTTGACACATTTAGTTTCTGTTTTTCCTCAAAGTCTTCTGGAGTGGCAGGCCAACAAAACCTAAAACCTGTAAGATTCTGAAAGAGAAAAGCTAAGTTGTAAAAATAGAAGCTTGAAATGGAAAGATTAAGTTTTTTGTTATTAAGTAAAAAGGTATTTTAAGTATCTTGTCTTCAAGTTTCAAATAATGTGCTCTGCCAATGACTGTTTCAATGGAAGGTGAGCCAGAGGACAGAAAAGATGTCTTCATTTCCACATGATTTTTCTGAAGATGACTCTGACAATGGTGACAGCTCAGATCATGCCTCCCACATGTCCAAACAGAAGGAACATCTGAATAACCAAAGGTGGAAACAAGCTGCTATCACATGTACAGGTAAAGCTGCAGTCAGTGTGATCCCCCTGCAGACACAGCAGGCACCCCTCCCACCCCACCTGCAGAAATACAGAGCCACGGAACAGCATCCCATGACATCAGAGGGAGTAAGCCTGTGTTCTTCAACAAGCTTTACATGTAATTCTATAAAGAATAATTAAAACAATTTCATGAAACTAATGAGAAGAGTTAAAATATCCGTTCATTTTAATTTTATTTTCAAAGAGCTTCAGTCACAAAAATGATTTACAAGTCTATTTACAATTCTATTGTACAGTTATTTATGTATGCCTCTTGACAACAGGGTACCATTCTAGAGCAGCAATACATATTTTAAATACAAAGATGTAGTATCATTTCAGATTTAAAAATAAAAGGAAGCTGAGCTTCTAGAGAGTGCTGTAATGATGAACATTTTAATCTGTGTTAGGCTCGAGGAATTAATGACAAACTAAGTAGTTTCTGGTTCACATAATTATTAAACAAGCTGCAGTTTGTTGAAAATAGTTTTAAAAACCTGAAGCTTTACTGTATATAAAATCAACATATTCAAGACTCTAAAAATTGTCAAAAACCCACAGCTTTCCCTTAGACATACAAAACCCTAAGTTTACAATTCAGAATTTCATGGGAGAAATCCTACAGGACTTGAGCTCTCTCATTTTGTGATGACCAACATAAGCATTAAAAATTTGCAGCATAAAAAGGACTCCACATCTGCTTAGTATTATACTGCATATACACATATACAGTACAGGATTATTTACCCAATTTGGGATGACTGTTCAGCACAACCTTCATGAAGAAAGAAAAAAATAAATAGAATTAAAAATCCAACAACTTTTTAAAAAGTGCAACAGTAAGAGTTTCCAATTTAAAGTTATGATGAATATGGACAGTCAGTTCTGTGGGTTTTTTCAGCCGCTTCTATTCAAGCATTATTTGCAGCATTTTCTTTTTACAGTAGATTTAGTTCTATAGTACATTAAACTACAGTTACTACTAATGGACTCTGAAGGGAAAGGAAGGAAAAAACTTTAAAAATAACCCTGAGGGATATACAATTTCATGATCTTGTAATTTATTTCTAAAAAGTAACATTTATTATTTAGCAACTGCTTTTCTGGATAGACCAGTCCTTTAAGTATGTGCATAAATAATATTTAAAAATCAGTAATATTTACAAATCCTAATACATCAAAATAAAATACGTACAGATTGAAGTCTGCATACACAAATAATTTAATAATAAATCAAACTCCTCAACATAAGGCCAAAATATACAGCAGGAAGGAAATGTCTACCCAGTATCTAGTGGAGCTCACTAACTTGGTCTGTTCACCTGAATTTAGATTTCCAAGATGAACACTGAAAGAGATTTCTTTTTTCACTACAAAATGAATTTCATCTTACTTAAAAACAGAAACTGAATACACTAGTGCAGATCTAGTTTGCTGCATTTCTGAAAACCAGAAAAACTAAACTACTCAAAATGAGAAAAATTATAGGTGGTCAAATTCAGCTCTTGGGCAGGAAGGCATAAATCCCAATAATTGCAGAAAATGCAAAAGCTTATTTTGTGGCTGAACTTGCAATAACAAGATGGATTCTCAGAAAAGCTGATTTATTATTCTTGACTAAGCGTCAGAGCTCAAGCATGCAACCTCAGGAACATTTACCAACCCTGAGCGCAGACCTGGAGGAAACAAGCTCCATTTGCAAAACATTCAAGTTTGCTACGCTCATGAGCCATTAGTCACTCGCCTAAGTGGAGACACTTGGCAATTTCTGTTTCAGTAAGAGCTCCCTAAAATGTTCTCTGAAGACAAGCCCACCTTAATGAGCCATTTTCCTCCTCACTTTCCAGGTAAGTCTAACAAACTAGAATAAGACTGAAAAACCAGCTTCAGAAACCAAACAAGCCAAGAGAAATTATCAGTCTAGGAGAGTATTAAGCAAAAGCATATAAAAGGGAAAGACACAAATATTTCCTTTCAGTTCTCATGAAACAGCAAATCTAAAATGGTCAATGAAATGGAAAGCAGAAGCTTATGCGTTTAAGGATAAGTCACAGCTCCCAGGTCCAAGATGCATAGCTTCACAATATTTTTCAACTAAAATATTATTTTCGTTTAGATTTGAATACTACTTACGCAGCTAAGAATTATTCTTCATCAGTTATTCCATGCTACAAAGATTTTGTAAAATCAACATCGGCAGAAATTAGCCACCTGACTCAGGTTCATGACTAATTAATGTATCCAATGTTTGCAGACCCTTTAAAAGCCACCAATGTTGTTCAATGTTTATGACCTTATGAAGCCAGGATTAGAAGAACATTGCTCTGTTGAATGAATGCTAAGAAAACCACTTCCCCCTTTCCCCCTGCTCCACTCCTCAAAAACAAACAACAACAACAACAGAAATCAGGAAAAGAGTTGACAGCTGGACTGGAAGATAGTACACCCATATGCATATTATTTAGGAGGAGCAATAACTTCAACAACCAAGTTCTAGGAAAAGGTCTTCCAAACCATTTAGCACCACTTTTAAATTCCCAGTTGGCACAGTATATTCAACACTGCAGAAACTACAACATGATTGACATTAACAGGTTAATGGTTGATGATTTTGAAGGTCTTTTCCAACCTTAATGATTCTATGAGCAGCAGGGCACACTGTCCATACTGTCTTACAGAACAGCACAAGGGAATTAGGCCTGATCTGAAAAATTCTGCTTATTAAAACAAGGCTGGAATGGAATTGTCTCCACAGGAATTTAAAAGAACAAAACAAAACCCGAAAAAAGAAAAAGAAAAAAAAAAAGGAAAAAAAAAAAGAAAAAAATCCCTAACATCAAAACCTCAAATTCCATCATCAGAATATACACACTTCAAAACAATCCCAGCCGGCCAGTGAGCCTCATTCCACAACTACTCCAAAGGATCTCTCCAGAATCCTGACTTCCTCAGACCAGAGATCTCCTCCCAAGCTTGGAGGTGTCTGGACCAGTTAGTTGCCCCAGTCAAAAATAGACTGATCAAGACTCAATTTATCATCTTCCCAAAGACACTAAGGAAGACTTTTCCAAACATGTACAAAGTCAACAATGGTTTAGAGATAAGTAATTTGTAGTTTAAAAAAAAAACCAAAAAAAAACCCAAAAAAAGTTTTAAGCCTTGCAAGTCAAAGTGCTGTCTGCCTCTACTTCTTTGTAGACCTATTTTTCTAGTGGTCTTGTGTTCTGATACTGCCTCATGGCAAAATTATGTATGGCTACCCCTAGTGCTTAAGCAGCATTAGTGGTGATACATGCTTTTATTTTTTTCATATTTTTTTTTAATAAATAAAATCTGCATAAGCCTTATAGTTCTGCAGCAAGACAGACTTTAGCTCAATTTTCTCTTGATTTTGTTTTGTACTGGAATTGTCCCCAAAGGAATTTAAAAAAAAAAAAAAAAAACCGAAAAAAAAAAAAAAAAAAAAAAAAAAAAAACGGAAAAAAAGAAAGAAAAAAATCCCTAACATCAAAACCTTAAATTCCATCATCAGAATATACACACTTCAAAACAATCCCAGCCGTCCAGTGAGCCTCATTCCACAACTACTCCAAAGGATCTCTCCAGAATCCTGACTTCCTCAGACCAGAGATCTCCTCCCAAGCTTGGAGGTGTCTGGACCAGTTAGTTGCCCCAGTCAAAAATAGACTGATCAAGACTCAATTTATCATCTTCCCAAAGACACTAAGGAAGACTTTTCCAAACATGTACAAAGTCAACAATGGTTTAGAGATAAGTAATTTGTAGTTTAAAAAAAAAACCAAAAAAAAACCCAAAAAAAGTTTTAAGCCTTGCAACCCAAAGTGCTGTCTGCCTCTACTTCTTTGTAGACCTATTTTTCTAGTGGTCTTGTGTTCTGATACTGCCTCATGGCAAAATTATGTATGGCTACCCCTAGTGCTTAAGCAGCATTAGTGGTGATACATGCTTTTATTTTTTTCATATTTTTTTTTAATAAATAAAATCTGCATAAGCCTTATAGTTCTGCAGCAAGACAGACTTTAGCTCAATTTTCTCTTGATTTTGTTTTGTACAGCTACATGTAGAGCTTAAGACACTGGCAGACTCTGAAATGCCTGTGCTCCTAACGTGCACAAACCCCACACATGGGCACGTGGCAATACCTCCCTCCACTCCCATATCCCTTGCAGCAGTAACTCTGGCCTTACTACTTCAAGGTATATAAGAAAATTATCTTTAGATTCACAAATAAAACATGGTCCACAAAGGGATAATCCAACCCTTCTGCTGGAAAAAAGCAAGGTCAGTGGAGAAATGCATAGCTAAATGTGAAAAAACATGACATAGAAGAAAGGGTTTAGATTCCCCATCCTTCTTTCTCCAAAAACTTTAGAGTGTAGCCAAATGGCTCCTCCCCTGGAGGCCACCAAAGCCTTCCCTATGGTTAGCTAGAAGAGAAGTCAAGAATCCACATGAAAGCAATGTGCTTATTTCTTAAGGACAGAGCATATTGCTTCTACAGCATTCCCAATTCCTGCTGTGCAGACTAAAGAACTGAACTTAGAACCCAAACATTACACCTGGAAACGCTCCTTACTAATAGGGACAAACTTAGAGGCACACCCACACAAACTTTAGAACCGTTCTGAGGCACAAAACTTTTCATCAGTCAAATAAAACCAACTAAACAAACAAAATAACCCCAACCAACCAAAAACACAGACACAAAAAACCCCAAACCATGACAAGGTTATTATGCACCTCTAGTACAGCCAGGAAACCATCACATCATAGGGTTTACATGAACACATGCCCAGATAAGCAGGTTAGAACAACTATTAAGATACTCCAGGCAAATAATGTGAACCTGTTTTAACTGCCCTGCAGTTTAAACCTTCAAATGCACCTCATTTAGGAACAATGAAATCTGAAAGAAGGTGGAAGGAAACACAATCATTTTTGTTCTGCCTAAGATAACTTACATTTTTAAAATGTATAGCCATAAGACGCCTGGCTCTGAATTTTGTATTCAGAGAGACAAAACAGTTGGAAATATCTGCATTAGAATTTGACATTTAGCACACTGCAGTTTCAAATAAAGCCTTAAAATTACATTCTTCTGAATACTACTAAAGATGCATGCCACCAAGATCCACTGCTACGTTACAGTGATGATTTGATATGAACCATTTTCTTGGGATGGTACTTTCGCTTCTGTTGTTGTCCTGGGTTTTGGTGGCCATTCTGGATCAACCAGCAGTTCCTGAGCTAGGTGCATATACTTGGCTTTTGGTGTCTTCTCTCTACAACCAAACAGGGAAGAAAGGAAACAGACTCCACAGCGGTCCCCAGCCTCCTGCAGAAGTGAACAAGTTTGAAAATTGGATTACCACAACAACAACAAAAAAAAAAAGTCAGTAACAATACAGTAAATTACTAGGAGAAAAACTATTATTTCAGTCTTTAATTTACTATTTCATATCACATTGGATTGGACCTATGGTACAGAAACTCTTCTGTTGTGTCATCTCTTCTATACTGTGGTAGTAATGACATTCAAAAAACATTAAGAAAAAACCAAGTATTTCACATTGTCGTAACATCTAAGACCACCAACAGTTTTTATGCCTATTTTATAGTCATTTCAATAATCACAGATAGAACAGGGAACAATAAATTATTTTACTGTTGGAGAATAAAAGCCTGGTCTATAAAAAGCAAATTCCTAAAACTCCAAAACACTTTTTAAGTCATGAATTGTTAAACTGAAGGCAGCCAGTCAGACAAAAGTATCAGAATTTAACTTGCTGGCATGTGAAATCTAAATACTACAGGTATCAATAGCTATTAAAAAGGACACAAATTACTAAACTTAAGACTTCCTTCCTATGCTTTCTCTCCCAGTCTTAAATGCATGTAATTAAACTAGTTGGGGAGGAGAAACAACATTCCTCATTCTTGAGACTGAATCCCTCTCATGTCTCAGAGAGCCCCTATAGTCTGCAGGGCTGACATTTTAATGGTAACACATTCTATAGTTTTCATCATGCTCTAAATGTCTATCAATTAGTGAACTGAAGCAAATGTGAGCCTTGAGCACAGTTTCCATTCTTCAGTGACCACAAAACAATTTGTTCTACAACGGCCTCAAAAGGACAAATGTAAATCTGAAGTGAATATATTTAATAAAATTTAGTGCTGAGAAATAAACTACTATAATTCTAGCAAGCACAAATGTACAATCAGCCAAAAGTAATAAGCCAACAGGTTTAAAGCAAAGCTGTTTTTATGGGAATCACATAGATTTCCTTCATGTATTAACAGCAGAGGGGCAGACCAGACCAAAATTCATGGTCACCTGAAAAATCTTTCATTGTCCTAAACATCTGAAGCAGTAAGAGTGTATTTTCATTTGCCATCTTGTTTTGTTTAATTTGTACATTGCTGAAAATTACTGCTCTCAGACAAGGACCTAAAACTCTAAACCAAATTAATTTATTTTAACTGCTTCTAAGCAAATCAAGATGTTCCCAGTCCTAGCATACTAACTTGCGACACCAAAAAAATTTGCTGATGTGGAAACTAAAGATGAAGTGAGAAAAAAGTCTTAAAGCAATACTCTAGGTTTGTTTCACAGTTCTTGCACACACACTAAACTCTTTAAAGCATCAATAGAGAAAAAAACATAAAACCAGAAGCCTTTGTTTTTAATATTCCAATTACAGAAATCTAATTTAAGCAGACTTAAGCTAAAGATAAGGCAACAGACAGTTATAGATAAGAGACAAAACCAAATTAATCCACATGCACTCAAACGAGGACAGCAAAATACTCGTCTCCAACCTGAGGCGGCTGGGGTATGGTGAGGCGAGATTCTCCTTGTTTGTCTCGATTGAACACAACCTTCCAAAGGATCATATCAAGGAGGACATTCTGTGAGACATTACAGTGAGTGGGAAGAGTTAAAGAAACTAATGATCATTTGTTGTTAGTGTGCACATTACAAATAAAACCTGAAACAGTGCGTTAGGCATAACTAATTCAGTGGCAAGCAAAACAGGGAGTTTATGCTACTTGTTGGTACTTTTGTGATACATTTTCATTCCAAAGTGCTCACACAAAATTTAAGAATATGAACATATACTCTAAAATCAACAGCAACAATGACCAAATCTGCATCCATTTCTGTGGGTAAAAAACATAAATACATATGTGTTTCTATACTCTAAAAACCTGTGAAGCACCACATGAAGACATGAGTGCTTAGAGCAGCTTCCCCATAAACCATCTTGGAGCTCTCCTTTTTACATAGTCTGTTTTAAACCAGGGACATTCTCAGAAAAGTAGCAGTGGGGTGGCAAAGCTGGGCCACCAGCAGGAATAAAGGAATTTGGTATGTGTAATTCCATGGTTTTAAAAGAGGGCAGAGTTTGAATAGTATGTTGAGCACATCTGGTTATCCTCATTCAGCTGCATGGGTGGACTCAGGAGCTTTCAGCAAATCTGACAACACAGGTGTGAACCTGTACTTGCCATGGCCTGGAGCCTACAACTCTGATCCCTGGACAGATTCCAGTTCTAACACCTGACTAACTGCTGCCATTGGAAATGGGGAGCTGATTAGTCAGACTTTTGTAACAGATTTTTATAATGCTTATGATTTTATAATATACCAGAATTTGACAGTGCTTTTGTAAAGCATCAGCCAACAAATCTTCAGCTTGTTAGATGTTCATTTTTGAAGCCAGTCTGGTTTAAGCATGTCTATACCAGGCTTCAGGGGTGATGAGGAACAGCTGCTAGGATCTGCCTTTGTTGTGCAATATTTTCTATCATATGGTAGAAAGAATCTGCATGCTTCGTGAACCTAGTCTGGCACCCACATGGAAGGAGCAAAAGCTTTTCAGGGCATTTCAGAAAACAAACAGAAAACAACCACAGTCAGAAACTATTCCTGTTGTAGAAGCAATGACAAAGCTACATATGATCATAGTGTGACACAGAAGTGTCACACTGGCAAGTGTGACTAAGGAAGATCCAATTCCTCATTTGTCTCATAATTATGAGACACTTAAAGAGGCAGTTCCTGAGGAACAGCTCTCAGCAGAATAAACTCCAGGTGAAATACAGGCTACCTTGTTAAAAGATGGAAGGAGCTGCCACCAGTGGTCTCCCCAGATACTCAGCATGTGACCTGTGGCCCAGGTCTGTATTGAAAAGTGGAGGGAGCAGAAAATCCAGCCAGGCACACAAGGACAGAAAGACAATGAGCTATACTTGAAGTGAGGGAAAGAAATAGCCTGGGATTTCTACACAACACAGTGGAACCCAAGGAGCTGGCACCACATGACAAAGCTTTAGAGAGTGCAGAGTGACACTGCTGGAATTGGGCAAATGCAAGAGGTGGGCTCCAGTTATGGACAGTGAAGTGTGTATTGTAAAACAAGGTTTGGGATTTGAGGACTGCTACTCAACAGTTCTGTTGGGACACCTGCTGTACAGTAAAACAGCTCATCTGCCATAACAAAGCATTCAACTCACACTTATAAAGTGGGAGAAACTTGGTTTAAGACAAAGCATAACAGCCCACACAATTACTGCCTAGAAGTAGGTACTTCTATTTTATTACTGAAGTACAGGCAACAACAGAAATTGGGAAGGCTGTTTAGAAGAAATGTGTCAAATCACCCCTGCAGTTTTGGTAATGAAAGTTAAATGACTGAAGTGTACAAAGATGCTAACTCAAGCTCCATAGGAAAAAGAGTGGGATGAGGTTTTGAAATACTGGATGAAAGAACACAGTCTGCAGGTAATTATATTGCTTAGGTGATGTTTAGTAGAAATTCACAAGTTTTCAGGCTGATGTGACAACCAGCAAGGCCCAAAAGTGGAACTTGATGAACACGTATTTAAACCAGAGGAGAACCATTTGTCCTCAAGAGCATGTGCTGATACATGGATTGGCACACTGTACAGACTTCCTACTGGAGCCCTTACACATCCAGAACAGAAACAACACCAGCTTCTATAAAAGTTACAAGATCACCAGCAGAACAAAGGAATTTTCAAGCAGATGGTGAATTTATTTCTCTCACTAATCCTTATCACTGGACTGAATATTGAAATTGAATAAAATGTTTCTGTCAAGGAGGTTTGTTTTAATTTTATCAGAAGACAAAAAAAAGCCATGATGCTGAAGGTTCAGAATAGCCGTTTGGTTTCAGTAGTAAAGACAGCAAAATACATAAAATTTGACTTTTCAAAAAGAAAAGAAAGCCAAAAACCCCAAACTATGAAGTATTCACTAATACAGAAAAAGCAAAAGAATTCAAGGCCATAAAGGAAAATCATCACAGGAAGTGCTAGAGTACATACAGGACAATGTAAGAAAGGCACAGGAGCTTTAATAGTAGATAAACTTGTTAACCACAAGACAAGAGGCCAAGAAAATTAGTATCTACTGACACGTTTTGGAAAAGACAAGTTGTTGCCTGCCATGTGAAAACACAAAAACATGTTCCAATAGGCAGCAACATAAGAGCATGTTTTGCAAATTCTATTTGGAACAACACTTTAAACACAAAACCTTGGTAATTTTGATTCAAGTATCTGAAAAAACCCCTTTGTTTGAGTTAATTTTCACTAGGTCACAAATAAAGGGAAAAAACATGTCAATTGGACAGAATATTAATGCTGTAGTACTCTTTGAAGACCAAAATTATATGATCCAAGGAAGTATTATGCTGGTTACATTGATTGTAATCCCTCACATTGTAATGGAAATACTGATTAGAAGCTGTAGAAAATGTTACACAGTAAAAACAGATAATTATAGTGTGCACTAGATAATGCTGGAAGGCCTTTTCATCTTGCAGGAAAAAAGTGACTCATGATTGCAACCAAAACCCAAACATATTCAGGTTGGAAATCACATGTCAGTTAATAGGGAGAAAAACTAACCACAGAATAAATAACTGACTGTGCATCCAGACTTCTTCTGGAAGATTTATCTGTCCAACTTTGATTCTTGGAAACAAAAACAAGACACCTGGATGAAAGGTAGGGCGTGTTTCTGCATACATTAACTCTGGAATTATAGCAGAAGAGGTCAACATCCAGAGTGATTGACTTCAGACGAGCTCAGTGATGGAAAAAGCAGATTTGCATGAACATCTCTACTTCTGGACTTTGATCATATCAGACAGACCTGCATTACACAGACCTGCATAATTCTGAACAATAAGCTATGTGTATGATCCAAATGATGGAAGGGGGCTCTCCTAAGGATTTTAGATAGTTCTCTAGTATGTTGTTATTCTGAAGTAACACAGAAAATAAAAATGGAGTATTTTAATATGAAATAGTTGAATTATTAAGTCTTTTCACTTCCTCCCCACCCCCATTTTTAAATAAAAAAGATTTTAAAATTACACTTTAGGCACAGGAAGTCTTGACACCTTAAATCTAGTTTACAAGGACACTTGTAGAAATACACACCTAGCAAAAAAACAGCAGCCACTCATACTGGCATGCTGTGAAGAGTGACCTAAATAAAAGACAAACATGCACCCTGCAAAAAGAAGCACTTAAAAGAGAAGCATTTTTTCCACGTGGATCTCTTACCTCTGTCAGCACGGATACAAGTGCATTTAGAATAACAATGATGACAATTCTCAGGCGCCACTCCGGTGGCACACACACAAGCTGTGGAAACAAGTTGCCAGAGGTTAGAAACACACATAAGAAGTAAACACACATCCCAACCAGACTCAAAATTATAAATCCTCCCTTTCCCACGCAGTGATGTGAAGGTAAAGCTCTGCAGGGCTCATGCTTGGCCCAAAAGCAGCCCACCAGCTGCCCGAGGAAGCTCACACACTCACAGATCTCTCACCTCAAGAAATGCGTCGATAGGTTCAACAGGATGCAACATGATGAAAAATATGAAGACATAAAGAACTATAACAGATAAAACAAACAGAACTGTAAAAGAAGAAGAAAAAAAAAATTAATTGTACCATTTCACAATCAAGAGTTTAGACAGTTTAATATGTATCATGAGTTCATTACTGCCTGAAAACAACCTCTCTTCTCCCATAAACCCCTTCCAGGCACAGGCAAACTGGGGCAATACTAATTGTGCTGATAGTCATAAAGACAGATAAGGCCTGACTCCTTCTCACTGGCTCACCTGTGGAGTTGAAATATACAGACAATCTATGTCTACAAATTAAGCAATCATTAACACAAATTTCTCCATAATAACATAATAACAGTTTAATATTTCCTTTTCTCTAGCTGTGATTATGAGAGGATAACTCCACTATGATCTCCTAGCAACACTATTGCTTCTGAAGTGGCACAACAGAATTGTCAACAAGTGCACAGTCACTTAGGAGTTTTATTTGAAACTGTATATACTAAGAAAGGACTTACAATTTTTGTAGCATGGTTGTCTAAAGGGCTTTCCTTTAGAAAAGACAATTGCCACTATGAGGTACTGAAAACTGGATATAAAAAACAAAGTTGTGTTTTCATAATTTTTAATGTAATGTTCATCATGAATAGTCTCATTCCCATGGTGTGCAGAGCTGGTGTTCTGGGTGTCCAACACATTACATGCACTGCAACACAAAAACATTGAACACTGAGTTAGGGAGAAGGTGCAAAAAGGGCCCACTTATTTACAAAAATATTGACAGAACAAATTGCTACAGTAGTAAAAAAGCTGAAACTTGAGAACATATTACAGGTAGCAAAAAATAACTCAAAACTGTGGCAGGGAGGTAGTCCTTTTTGTGAATTTAAAGCTTCAAGTTCTTTTACGCTGTCAGTTTGTAAATTTTCTACATAAACTGTTTAAAAACTATCATTGTAGACAGACTTCAGAGACAGGTAAGGAAATATTGCAACCTAAAAAAATAACATTAAAACACCTCTTTATGTAAAAAAAAAAATAAATTATTTACTGTAGCTCTAACAGGAAAGCAAAGCTTTATAATATGAAAGAGATAGAATAGGTGTGAACCATAAATTACAAATTTCTACCTCGACTGTCCTAAAGCTGAAGAGTCATTAGACCAAGCCATATGACACTGACCCAATTTTGTTTTTCAGCCAGTGGGTAGAAATCCCATACTATCCCATATATTTTTCACAAAAAATCAGCAGACTAAGAAGCTGCAATACAGGAGCTTTATTGTCAAAGTCCCCACAGCGGGGCTCAAGAAAGAAGAGAACATTATTGCCTGTAGCTTTCTAATTACTCCTGTATCCTACAGAGCCACTGAAACACTTACTCAGAGTCTGGTGTCCAAGGCTCATACCAGGACTGTTGTTTGACCCAAAAGAAGCCCAAGGTTTGGAAAGCAAGGCAGATGATGATCTGAGACAACACGGAACACAGAAGTGGACCTGAGATAAGACCTGATGGAGGCCTTCGTGCAACAAGCTCTGTCCAAGCAGGGTTCAGACTCACTGCAGAGAGAACAAAAAACAAATGACACATTGCATCGTTATGGTTTTCAAGAGTTATCCTGTTCACATTCTGTGGGATTAGAATGGCTTGCTCATGACATCACTTTAAAATTTAGTCCAGAACTGCAAATGTGAAACCACTTTGCAAAGAGCACAGAGCCCTAGAACAACACCACAGTGCCTTCTACAGGCTGGTTCCCCAGCAGCACAGCACAGCAGGGACAGTAGCAGCCATCAGACTTAAGGAATTAGTAGTGTCTGGCCAAATTCCCTTTGTCTGGCACAAGGACTTACAGCTTGCCTCCTCACTTTTGGACTGCCATTGCTTCAATGAAGATGTTTTTATTAAATTTGAAAATGGAATTCTACTACTTGAATGTTAGGTTCATATGTGAAATCAAATGTTTCACTAGGCAATATTTTAAGTGTTACATTTTGTGGACGGAAGTTCAAAGTAAGAATGCAAGGAATCAAAACAACTGAGGAAGATGATATTGCAACGACTCCTGTTTTGATTCCAAAACCAGCTTCCTGTACTGTGAAGACTTAGTTCCCCAAGATCGTGCCCACAACCTGCTTCGTGTTTAGGACATTTCACAAATTTCAGATGAATCTAATTCAGTACATAGTGTGGTTTGGGTTTCTTAATGCATAGATGTAATAGTCATAACATCTTCACTGTATGTCATAGTGTTTTCTCAAAACCACATGTAATTAGATATTAAAGAAAATCTGACCAAGCAAAAAGTGGTTCACTGAAGCCCCTGTGGTAATTCAGTACAGTACTCACTAGTGAAGACAACCACCAAAATGATTGCCAAATCAATGAAGAGAAACTGGAAATCTCCCAAATTGCTCAGGATCTGGAGAGAAACAACAAATGAAACACTGGTAATTTCTTCACAATTTATATTGACACTTTCACGGCATTAATTCTTTGAATTTTGCTCTATAAACAAGAGAGTGTCTTGTCAAACTGGCCTCCTTTACCTGCAGGAGTCCTGAACACTCTACAATTCACAGAAGAATTCCTGAAGTATCACAGTATGAAACAGTTTCCTTTTCAAGATGGACAAGCTATTTGTAATTGTAATTTGTTTGTAATCAAAATTATATTATTGAAATCTTACATACCAATGCAATAACAGCTTAGGCCTACAGTTCTTTAAACACCATAACCTTCCTACGTACCATACAGCTGTCAAAATTTCCCCCTCAAAGGTCCTTTAATACTCTGCACCTTTAACTTGCTCAGAATACAAATTAAAATACAGGATTTCTATCACATGCCACTATTGTGAAACCAATCTTATTAACAGGAAATATTCCATTTTGCTTCCCCCCCACCCACCTAAATCAGTACTTCCAGTTTCTTCAACATCTAACATAAAAGGAATGCATTGCCTTTTAAAATAAGTTAGGCTATTTCAAAATGCTGAAAGTTTTTAAATAATTGAAGCCTATATTTTTGCTTTGTATATATGCTTATTTGGTCTTCCCACTGTAGAGACTTTCTTTGCACAGCCATTGGTAATTGCCTCTTCTAAACAGATACTACCATGTATTTTGTACAGTTAATATAAAAAAATACTCAAAATACTAACATGTATTTTGTACAGTTAATATGAAAAAAAACCCAAAACACTAACAACACTTTCAGTCTGAATGTGTTTTTCAATGCATATGTTGTACTCAAAGGGACTTGTAATAATTTGTATTGAATAGCTATCAATTTTCAAATCTCTGAATTATGCTGATACTGCATAGGTATTGACAGAATACTTACAGAATACAGCAAAGTAACAGTGATGTACTGGATGATGCTGTACAATGCCATGAATTTGAACACACAGAAGGAAGTTACTAAAGCAGCACGGCCTTCCCTGTCAAAACAGATGCAATCATGTAACTACAGAGCTTTCTGTGCAAGCAGTTAAATTCTGCCCGCCAAAATGTTAGCTGCAATTAAACACAACAGCAAACCCTTTGAGGGACATGAGAGAAACAGGAGAATGGTACACTTCCCCCAACATCAAGTTGTGGGTATGTCTTCTGAACTCGGCCACCACCTAACTTCACTCCTCTTTGGACTTTGTGTGTTTTCAACAGAGGTTTTAAAATGAAAGTCTTTTTACACAAGCATCTATGAAGCATTAGTTTACTGCATGGACTGAATAAACACACAGTCGGCCACAGAGCTGCTGACTTCAGAAATGTTTCTGATAATTACATTTAATAATTAATTCCATTACTTCATTAGCTCCCCACAGACCTCATGATTCTTCTTTGGCTGACCTTTATCCAAAATCGTTACCTAATTTCCAATTCTAGAGTCAAAAAATTGGTCAAACCCTATTTAGAGAATTTGTCTTCTACTTTGTGTGGTGCTGAGCAATTATCTGAAGATTTTTGCTACTTGTAATTACACACAGCCTTTATGGAAACTAGCAAAGTGACTAAGAAAAATTAAAGACTAATGTGTATAAGCTTGGTCATGCTTTGAAAAATTAACTTTACATGAACAACGGATTTTACAACAAAATAGTAAATATGCTATGGCAGGGTTTTGCTCTGAGTACCTTTGGTAAAGAAACAGAACCACTAAAATATATGTATTGTTTCACACCGGTTTCCTGCAGCATCAATATATACTAAAATGGAGCATTCAACATGAGTTACAGAGACACATTTAAGTCCACAGTCAGTGGCATTACCTGATCAGCTTTGGCACACAGGAAATACTGGGTGTCCTGGAAGTGAATGGTGATGCCACAGAAGCCTCAAGTTCAGACAGAGATATACCACCATGTGCCCTCTTCAGTGCCTGCCAGGTAGCATTGAAAGAGAGACCATTTTAGAACTTGCCTTCAGCTGTACAATTTAACTGAATGGTTCTGTATAGAAAATAAAAAATATACTTACCCCACAGTCATTTGCTCCATCTCCACACATGCCCACATAGTAACTATAAAAAGCAAACCAGATGTCAGCATTCTGGACCATTCTCCAAGCATGGTCCATGTAGCCTATTTCATTAAATATTTCTATATTACTTTGAGTTATTCAGGGTTTGCATAACAATGGGTGATCATTAATGCTGAGGTCAATTACTGTTGCTGTTATACATATAAGGAAGTAAACAGAAAAGTAACATGACCATGACAGGTCAATCAAAGTAATAATGGTTAATTAGTTCTCTATCACCCCAACGTGGTCTAAAGAATCTTTGCTCTAGGCAATGACACTTCTGTAGTATTTTGTAGAGCTGCAAGGCCTGACACTAACAGTCACATAATGACCAATGTGAACAGAAGTCATCTTGATATTACTTCTGTAATACACAGGAGACATTTGATAGGTTTGTTTCATAAACCAAGCAACTGCATTTATAAAATATGTTAGTAAGTTTATGCAGATATTCCTTATCAAAAACTTCATGAAAAGTCTGAAACTTTCCCAACTAGCCAGCAGATGGTACTACTCTCATTCTATCAGATCAGCTAATAGGCTGATCTATCAACACAAAATGTTCTCTCAGCTCAGCATTTTTCTTTAGGCAAAACAGCTAGCAGCATGCATAATTTTTGTCTCCTATCACACCAAACACAGTGAACCCTCTTGCTTTCTGTGCTTAAGCAAATACTTACTCTACATTTTGTAAAGCTTCCACCAGCTGAGTTTTCTGATCAGGTGCCATGCGAGCAAACACAGTGCCGTGTAGCACGAGCTGCAAGACAGGAGAGTTCTTAATGCTCACAGGGCAAAGGCTCTTCACCACTGACAGGGCAAAGGCTCTTTACCACTGAAAGTGCCCATACTCAAGTAAAATGCTCACCTTGGGTACCAGGTCCTGAAAATGCTCCAAAATCACTGCAAATGACTTCCCATTCATTGCAAAATGGTATTTTGTCATCTGGAGATCCTCAAGGCTTTCATGGACCAATTTAACTGGAATATCCTATCAAAAGTAGTTTAATACTCTAGCTGTAATGGATTTACACAGATACTTTTCCATTTCAAGCTAATACTAGGAGTATTCCTAGAGATGACAAGGTTTATAAGAAGATCATTTGGGAAAAAAAAAAACAAACCAACCTCATACAATAAAAACACATATATTACTAAGAAAATGTAGTTTAATGTTTCAACTACAAGCAGCTAGAGAAGTTTTGACAGATTGGAAATGTTGGGGAAAAAACCCTATCAAGTGAAATGTCAAATGTCATATCACAGTTGAAAAACTACCTCCCCCAGCTGCTTTACTAGTCTTTGGTATTTGAAGATCTGAAAGTTAACCAGTATATCAATTCTGAACTGACACTTAACAGCAGATTTATTATTTAATGGAGGAACGTAAAAAGAACAGTAAAACTGCTTACACACTAATATATATGCATAATATGGTGATATTACCTCTGAGTTTATGGCTGGTGATGAACTAGTGCATTTTGCGAGGGTATCTGCATAATGCCAGTTGATCCTGGCAACCTGCCCATCCTTTGGAGGTAGTGCTTCAGCAATAATGACCTTATCCTGAGGTAGAATCATTCCACAGTCTCTGGCCACAGAGATAGCAGTTAACATGTTATCCCCTGTTAAACAATTGCATTTGAAAGGGTTTCAGTCAGAAAAGCATCAAAATCATACATTGATTTCATACATACATTTCCTGTAAGAGAAAATCTAACGAAGCCTGTAGAGAATTATGAAGAGGACTGACCCACATATCAGTGCCAACCTCAGAGCAAACCAAGTTTGCTTGTTTTCAAACCCCCAGGTAAACTCCTTCCTCTAGAAATTTCATCTGCTGCGTGGAGCTATAAAGATCTCTAATTGACCAAATCTTAGTATATGGAAAATCAGGCAGAAAACAGGCAGCCACTTAAAATACTGCTTTCTACACAGTCACAGAATATGCAAACAGAGCTGTATTGTTAGCCTAGCAAAACATTCCAAAATCACAACACCTGTGATTTAAAAAGCAAACACATATTGTATGAAAAACACTAAGCACAGACATCTAGACAAGGACCTAAGTCATTCTCCCAGAAAAAATCCAATACAAAATGACTTTTCATAGTATAAATCAAAATGGTAGGGAACCTCAGGACGTCCAGTCCAACCTCCTGCTCAAAGCAAGTACAGTCATAAAATTAGACTAGGAGTTCCACTTAGCCTGATTTGGAAGACTTTTCAGGGTTTTCATCCTCCAATTCAGTACCAAGTAGCTTATCCTTGGAGTTAGGGAGAAGAAACTATAAAGTGGAATTAAAGCCTCTTCTGGTTTCTCCGACTTACGAAAGCAACTTGCACCCAAAAAGAAAAAAATTGGAGTCTGAATATTTTCACAAGTTTCTACACTTCCCTGTTGCTATAAACACAGTGTAAACCCACTGACACTAAAATTTGACTTCATACACATAATTAAAACAAGACCAGAAAGAGATGGATCTTTGAGTATAAATGTTTACATGCTAACCTGTAACCATGACAGTGCGAATGTTGGCTTTATGCAAATCTTCAAGTACAGCAGGGGTTTCTTGCTTTAACTTGTTTTGCATTATAATTAACCCCATAAAATCCATGTTGCTTTCAATAGCATCTCTGATGAAAAAGAGACAAAGAAGAGAAGATTTTAAGATTTACAATTATTAGATGCAGCTTTAAAAGCCTGATTTTCTGCTTAGCAAAGTAAAGAGGAATGTGTATTTTTAACCATTAAGTAATTTGCTTTATAAAAAAATTATGTGAAAGATATCATCACAATAATTTATATTTATTTCCCTTGTTTTATTTGAAAACCAGTGTGAGAAAATGTTGTTTCCTCTCAAGCACAATTTTCAGTTTCTTCCACAAAAGGAAATTACAGTCTCAAATAGGTTGTAGCTAGAAAAACTGCTCTGAAACTAACTGCATTCACAGGCCAAATATTAAGATATGTTTAGAGTGCACACCTCTATTTTCCAATTTAGCTTAACCTTAACATAAAAGCTACTACATTGTTGCAAAGGCATGTAAGATTAATCAGCACTAGCTAATTAGGCAGAGAAATTGATTCTCTTTGGTTTACATTAAAAAGTTAGCACATTTACAGGTCTTGGGTATTCTACTCTATTGTAGACTTTCACACCTGAAACTGGAAAACTCATTTCTCTGCTTTGCCAAATGTTCATCTTGCACACAAGGCTGATACAAAAGAACACAGTCAAAGATGGCATTTTCATAGCTGTGCTACTGTCCTGGCTTGTAAAATAAGCATGTATTCTATTTTGCCATCTGTTGGGGGTTAGGCAGTTTTATCTTATCTCTTTCAGGAACAATGACACTGCCCGGCTTAGGTAGCTTAATTTGTAAGTACCACCATGTGGTCCAGTTTTCCCTGGTTTGGGTGGCATGTGATCGCAAGTGTATACTTCCCATTTATAGGACCCTTATCAAACCAAGACAGCTACACATTCAAGCACTGAGGGAAAGATGACATTATCCACAAAACTAGGCTCAGCTGAAAAATAATTCACAGGAGGTACTACTCTTTGAAGGAAGAAACCTTTCTACCTTTCAAACCTCTGCAATGAGAAAATGGACATGCTGCCTTTAGGAGACAAAGAAACTGCATCAAACATGCATAGGAGGATTTCCACTACTTGCCATTATCCTTAATAAACATAGATGATATAAGTATGTGCAAGTAAAGAAATCAGACGAGGTTTTCTGCCACAATAATGTAAATCAGACATCATGAAAATAATATTCCAATTCATTTCCAGCTTAAAGCTCATCCTCTGAATTCATTTCATTGCAGAAAAAAACTTGCTTATCTTGTGTGTCTAGGGCACAACTAAATGATGTACAGAACTATCTATGCCAAGACACAAAAAAGCTAAAGAAGAGTAGTAATTGATTTAAACAGAAATACACATTACATATTAATTCAAAGTATGCAGCTTTTAAAATCTGTTACTTATTAAAAAAGTGAAGTCACTCTTACCTGCTAATAGTCTGGACTTTGTGCCACGTAAGCTTAGACTCCAGTTTTCTGTGAGCAAGAGCAATAACTCGGAAGCCCTGCTTAGTGTATTCTTCCAGGACACGCTCAAAGTCAACAGGAACTTCAGAAAAATCAAGTTTTGCATTATTAAAATATTCATGTTTCAGCTGAGCTATAGAAGAAATAAAAACAATTTGCTCCTTTACCTGTTTCCTGCTTACACAAGCTGGCAATCACTTCTGGAGCACCTTTCATGTAAGCATCCATTCTCTTTTCCCCTAGAACCCTGGCTATGACACACATGCGCTGCAACACTGAGGAAAATGGAAACTGGCGCACGATTCCAATTTCATACCCAGTCTGTGTCAGACAGGAAGGAAGGAAGGAACAAAAGGGTTACATCCACATGCATCTTAAGAAAAATAGCTATGTGCCAAATGAAAAAGTATACTTACCGACAGCTCAAACAATTCCTGAAAAACAGAAAATACACAGTCATTGTAAATATCAATTTTAAGTATTTTTTCAGCTACAAACAATTTCAACATGAATCAGTAAAAGAATCTGCACAGCATTCTCGTATCAAGTCGTATTTTTAATGGATTTCATAAAAGCTGAATATAAATACACTGCATCTGTTTAGTATCCTTTATTTAGGTGAGACACAGTAGAACTGTAGAGCTTCATTTCTTGATTAGTATTTTAAGTATTTCTTAAATTCTTTAAATTTTAAGTATTTCTTCAGCTACAAACAATTTCAACATGAATCAGTAAAAGAATCTGCACAGCATTCTCGTATCAAGTCGTATTTTTAATGGATTTCATAAAAGCTGAATATAAATACACTGCATCTGTTTAGTATCCTTTATTTAGGTGAGACACAGTAGAACTGTAGAGCTTCATTTCTTGATTAGAATTTCCAAGACCCTTCACATCCAAACTGTCTGTTTAGCCTTTGTAAATGACTGAAGTACAATGGTGTTTCAGAAAGAGGCCACGATTATTAAGTATATCCCTCCAAAAAATAACGTACTATGTTGCAAGAATGTTCAGATGTCAACTATTGCACAGAAATTACTGCTGTGCACGTACACTGAGCTCTGAACAAAAGAAAGACAGCTCTATCTACTACAAAATACATACAAATGTACTGACTTGTTATACCTTCCCACTACCCTACTCTGTGCTAATCTGGATATACACTCACATGCTTAAAATTTCCCTTTGTGAAATATTTAAAAATACTTCAAAATACAGCTAGAAGAAACTTTTATATTTGCTAAGGACATTCTGTTTTTTCAGTCAGCATTTACTATTAGCTCTAAGGTACAAGAGTGGCAAGAATTCCACGCCACACAGTGACATTAACAAATGATTGCTTTAACTGAAACTGCAAGGTGAGCACACCTAAGCACTTTATTAAAACATAAGAATTTGGTAACAATACCAATATTAAAAGGCATAAGCTCAAAAAGCATTACTGTACTTCATAACCACTCTGTAACAGCAATAATGATGACACTCAGTTTGCTCACCTTGAAAAGGGCATATACTGAATCACTACCTTCAACTGGTTTAAACATGTTTGTTGTATCTTTGCCATCAAAACCCTCACAGTTCTGATCCAATTTCAATTTTATCAGCCAGAACCTCAGCATACAGTAAAATGAGTTTCTTTAACTCAAATAAATTGTTTTGAGTTTTTATACCATTTCTTGATCTGTTGCTTGCTTGGATTCTGGGGAAAGTTGTTTTGAAGGTCGAACCACTGTTGGCATGATTCGATTATGAAGGGCTGTTTCCTCTTCGGTTGCTTCTTCTAAAATCTATATTAAAAAATAAATCAACTAATTTATACATTCATTAACTTTGACTTGTTCATAATACAATATTCAGGGAAAAAAAGGCACTTACCCATCCTATTGCTTCAAACATTTTCAAATCAAGTGGATCCCCAGAAAGCACCCCTTCAATTTTTGTAAGGGAATGACAAGTTGCCATGCAAGCAACAAACTCTGACTTCAGCAAGCTCTCACTGCAAGCTCTCTCTTCCGGCAAAAGGAAACTGAAACAATGAAGTAATAATATACTTAGCACTATAATTATTTATTATGAGCCACTTCAAAAGGTTTGTTTAGATTAACAGAAGAAAATTGACTGCACAAGTCCCTTCACTTGTGATTTCACACAACACAGAAAACAAATTAAGACTCTGGGCTGGAATCTTCAGAAGCTATCATAACTTTTTCCTCCTTCAAACACTCAGTGTTCATTCCATTCCTTCCCTGTCTAGTTTGATCTCTCATACAAAGCCCTCTTATCACTTAGTACTTAATTAGCAAAGCTAATTAATTTTAGCAGCCTGAACAGTCATTGCTTAGGAGATCAGGATTAAAGAAATATGCAACAGTACCTGCAACAGTTTTGCAGAATGACCATGATGAGGTCTCAGACTGTAACAAATAAAATTCTACCTCAGCTTTACTTGGAGTTTTAACTTCCACTACACCTAAGCCACAGCTTAAGTGGCCTTCCTACAGCACATTACAGAAATGTAAACATGTATGAGCTCACACAGAATTTTCTGTTCTATTCTGCTGAAGCTGTTACAGCACAACATGAGTATCATATTTGCTATCAGCCCTGAGCTCATCCTTACCGAGCATTTTCCACCCGCTGAATTCCCCAAAGATCCAAGCCATCCTCAGTAAGTGTGCCAGTCTGCAAAAGAGACCAAGGGCCATGGCATGAAGAAAAGCCTTCAGGAACAAATTATCTTCCAGCAAAGCAAAAGTTAACAGCTATTTAAGCAAATTACACTTGAACAATATATTTCCCTTTGTTTTCACATACAAATCAAGACTTCGAGACAGAAAATGAAAATACAGTATCTCCCTTGCTTTTTGCTAGTTCCAAACCTGTTAAATAACTTTCAAAAACATTGAAAGGAGTCATGCTCCTCACTGGAGACAGGACAAATGAAACAGACCCTTAAAATCCAAAGATGATAGAACATTATCTCAATATTCAGGGACTGGGGACAGTAGAAAATGGGCATTAAACAATTGGTACTAGCTTACATAGTTAAAACAGTAACTGAAATGTACTTATAGCTGAAATAATACAGGTAGTATTATACTTATTATTTGAGATAAAATCTAAGGAGGAAAGTAAATTTTATCTAGGAAATAGTCAAAAGCAAAGAATTCTGACTAGCACCATTACTGTCTTTCATTCATGTTTGCTTAACAAATAATAACAAAAGACACTCGCTCATTGAAATGAATGAAAATGAGAAAAAGTGTGACTTCACACTTGAGTTTTTCAGAAGTTTGTGTGCTAAATAAAGTTCTTAGTAAACATCAACTCTCACATTTCTGAGCTGCCAGTAGTAAGTTGGGACTTGGGAGTTTTGAGATAAGAAAGCAGCTCAATCACAAAAACTTTTTAGAGCAGATCAATAACAGATGGTAAACACTGAATACCTGGAGGCTAACACATCACAAATCATCTAACTCACATGAAAAATAAAGAGTTTTCCCTTTTTGTTCTGTCTTTTCTAAGACAATGCTCCTTCAGGTAGCAAGGTTTCAAAATTCACCTACCTTATCAAAACACACAAGATTCAGCTGGCCACAAATATTTATCCTTTGTGGGCTGATGCAAAAGATGCCAATTTTTTTCAACCTTCTTTGTGCATAAACGATGCCAGCAGTCATAGCAGCAGGGAGTGCTGGAGGCACCGTGATAGTGATAATGTCAAGAGACTCGATGATGATGGTACGAGCTGGAACCTGCAGTAGAGGTCAGAGTTCATGAACAGGAGCTCCCTGCTTACAGACTCACTGTCCCACTGACGTGCTACCAAGAGCAAAACCCACACATTGTTTTCCCCAGTACAGTGTGTTCTGGAATTGCCCAGAAATTTAGCACAATCTTCACCCACCATCAGCAACCACAATAATCCAGTACTAAATTATTCACAACCCATAACTTCAAATTTGCACTTCTTCCTCTGGAAATATATTACTTTAAAACATTAACGGAATAATACAAAATTTTTGGAGCAAAAAAAAAATCAAACCAAAAAGCTTAACAGTTATCAGGTTATTCCTTAATAAGGATTTTTTTCCCTGCAGCATGTTTTGGATGGACTGTACCCTATTTGTTCCAACTGTCTATAAATCAGCTGGCAATCTTACATATATCAAAGATAAAAATCTAGTAATTGGGTCAAGAGAAATCAAGGTAAACTCAAATTTCCCTGTAAGATATTCAAATTCTGCTTCTGTGCTGAATTTTATTCTCAATAACTGTGTCTCATTTCATTGATATAAAATAAAGCAAAACAATTTTCACTTTAAATCAAACAGTTTCTCAGCATCTGAAGTGTGATGGAAGTCATGATCACCCCTTTTCTAAAATAAGGCAGTTCTGGACCAGAAATGAAAACATACCTCATTTAAGATGCTATTGACAATTGTGTAAAGAAACCCAAAGCCTGCTACCACCACTAGAGACAGGAGAAACAAATAGGCATCTCTGTAGAGCTTAAAATCAGTTGGCTTTGGGTACAGAATGGAACGAACAAGCTGTCCTTTAGCAGTACTAAAGCCTAGAAATAAAAAGGGAGTAAGTTACTAAAAATACAAAGAAAAGAAAAGCTATTAAAATATATTAAAAACCTCAATAAAACCCTTAAGCTACTAATTTCATTACAATTGTTTCTCAATGTCCATAGCAGATGTTTTGCAATACTGTAATTAAGGTGCTTATATGTGCACATCATACTCAGGGCTTCTCTCCTATGGCAAGGACATGCAGCTGACGCAAACAAACCCCTCCTCTGCAGCAGCAGCAATCCCCACATGGTTTGGCCTGGCAGAGTTTGTTGTACTGCATTTTGCCCCTCACAGTGCAGAGCTAGTGGGTATATTTATTGCCTAATTAAGCCAGTCCTTGCAAAAAAGAAAATTAAGATATTCTGACTCCAACATTAAATACTTAAATGGCAGGTCTACTTAAGGTCCCTTGAGAGCCAGAATGAAAGATTCAGAAAAAACTGCAGTGCAGGGAGTCATCTTCTGAGAAGGGCACTTCCTGATGGCATTTTGACAACTAAACTAGGACACTATCCTTCTAAAGGTCTTACAGTTGAACAACCAACAGATATCCCAAGGTCCTCCTTGAACTTTTGCCTCAATGTTTAAAGAGCCCAACATTAATGCCCAATTTTGTGTGCCCAAAACATTTTTCATCTGCTTATACTTCAAAGTCTGTTACTACAACCTCAAAGTCAATGCCAGGTCTTCTAGCATCAGTGACAGCTCCCTGACAGCTTTTCAGTGCGCAAGTCACCACAGCAAAGGCTGAACCCTCAACCCTGACATTTGGCACAGAGGATTCTACCAAAACAGAGCAACTGAGCTCATCACAAGATGAAAAGCCATGAAGCCTCCAGGCTTTGAATTTGCTACTGCAGAATATGAACCATGTCACAACATGAAAACACATTCAAATAAGTTTTAAATTGATGCTGAAGACTGATTCACTTTTCTCCTTGCCAACTTTAATCTTCAGACCATCATCTAGTTTTATCACCATTTCAAAACTTTTATCAAGCTATTTGGGGTACATTCCTTTACCAAGTTTAGCAGCATCAGCCAGTTGACACACACCTACAAAAAGGAATAGTACATTTACAAGGGATAAATGTAACAATCAATACCTGTCCTCACTACCAGAGCTTTGACCAACTCTCCAGTGTAGAAGCGGGTCTGAATGACGTTGGTTCCACAGAACAGCGTGTGCCGCTTGTGCACTTCGGGACTGTAGATCTCATCTCCCACTGCTTTTGGATACTCCGAAGGATTTGGCAGATTAATCTTTGTGACAGGAACACTTTCACCTTAAAGGAAAGAAAGTCTCTAAGCAAGATCAGAGAAGAATAGACTTTTTTTTTTTCATTCACAACTACAAGTGGAATAATATAACCTCACTTCAGCAGCACAGGCAGACTTGTGGAAGTCATCTACCTTTTAGCATGCTATTAGGTAGTCTCTCACCTATTAGCCTCAGCTCAGCAGATCCCTCACCCAAATGCTATTTAACTCTATTCCTTATAGAGCTTCTGTGTCCCTTACTTCAAATCACAGTCTGTGATGTAAAACATAGTTCATTAAAATAAAAAACAGGACAAGCTTCCTTCTCTTGCTGAAAAGCATCACCCCCATCTTTACTCAGAAAAGCTAGAAGCTGAAGAAAATTATTCTCAGCTCCTTTGGGGACTGAGTGCATTCAAGCCAGGGGAACAATCAATTTTTATCAGTTGCTAGCACCAGCAAGAGGATCAAGCATATTCATATAAATCAAGCATATTCTGAACTCCATCTGCACTGACAACATCAAGTTAAGAGGCAGGAAGACAAACTATCAAGAAGAAATTTTTTTAATAAGAAACAATCATTCATTTTTGGAGTTTCCAAGCAGTATTATGTAGCTATTGCAGATAAGCAGAACACAAGTACCTATGTACTTCAGAACATGTCTAATTGTAAGAACATACACATTTCAAACAAAATAAACATATCCACTTCTGCTAAAAGATACTGCAAGTAAGCATGCACACAGGTATAAACTAGTACTTTTAGCCATGCAGCACTGTGTACCAAATTTACTTTACCTGTTAGCATACTTTCATTTACAATGCAAGTACCACTGAGCAGAACTGCATCACAGGGCATAATTGTCCCATTGGATGGAATCAACATGGTATCTCCAGGCACGAGGTCAGTGGAAAGGATTTCTTCTATTTCTGAATATTAGAACACAAACAAGTTTACTTGAAAATAGCCACCACCTATAAAACCTGATAAAGATCCTCACATTCAATATCCAGGTGGTGACAAGTAGGACTATTAATAAAATGAAGTACCACCCCATTTAATTAATGGCATGGAAAGATTTTTAAAATATACAGAAAAAGCCATCTATAAACCCCAACTCCACCACAGATTGACCTCCAGAGCACATGGAAAGAACACACCATGACAAATGAGAAGAATCAAGCTCGTACAAAAGATATTCATGATTAGCTACAGTGTAACTTCAGTATAAAGACATGGGTTCAACACAAATGTGTGTCTTAAAAACAATGTCATGCATCACAACTTTTTAGATACCACACCTTTAACTGCTGTGGTATCCAAATATTCAGGACAGTTCAGAAATCATATTGCAACCTTTGTTGGGTAACAAATTGTAATGGAGACACAACACATGCACATCTTTAAGTCAGGGAAGAAACCAGAATAACAATTATATAAGTGGAATGGTAGAGAAGGCAAAAGAAGCAATAGAACAAGCTCCTGCTCTAGAACAAACCAGATACTCACTGAAAATTCCATCTAGAAGGTTAACCCTGAACATATTACACTATCTAAATTCCACTTTGAACTTCTTTTCACATGCAATTTTGCTAAGGAATGCAAGCATTTCAAGCTGATCAAAGAAAGAACAGATGCAGACTCACTTTACACTCACACTTCATGAGCAATTTAAATTCAACCTTCCAAGCCACCTGTGAAATTTACCTTGGTTTCCTCTGCAGACAGAAACCCTTACAATGCTGTGAGCTGCTACCATGTCATGTAACATAACATATTGCTGCAAAGGGGAGAAAGATTCATTATTCAAAAGCACAGCTTGCCTTCTAAATGTACATTCTACAGTAGAAGTGATGAGATTCTCTACTAACATTCTTTAACAACAAAACACTGCTCAAAACATTCTCTTGAATATAGTTTAGAAAACTTATGGGCAAATAAACTTTGAGTGCATCAACCTGTACAGGCTCCTATTTTAACAGCATTTTGGAAGCAAGCATACACTGTCATGCAAAATCTTATAAAATCATTTGGTCATTAACATACAAAAGTAACAGCTGCAGTAGTTGTATGAACTTGTATTAAGGAAGAAATTGTTTGGGGTTTTTTTTTTTTTTTTGTCTCTGGTCTGAATTCAAAGATTGCAATTTAAGGGTAATTACTACTTTGATTCCCATCAGCTAAGTCTACAGAGCAAAGTGAATCACCAGTTTAACAATCCATATGCTTCACTGGTGCTCAGTTCTGCAGGGCCTTTTCAAACAAGGAAACAATGCCAAGATGGAACCACTACTGTCAATAAAACTTGGTACATAAACTTGTGTCCAGGTTTTATTTAAGCAAGGTAGTGTTTCTGTTAGCTGAGGCAAACCTATTGATTCATCAGTGTGGAAAGTCTGCAAAGGTCTCCAAGAAAACTATAAATCCAAATTCTTTCAGCTCAAAGAGGGAAAATGCTTAACAATATTCTATCCGTATAACTCTAAAAAATTCTTAAAAAATTTGTAGACAATTTCACAACAAAATAAGGCAATCAGTAAAAAGCCAAAAAGATGCATCTATTTTCTTTGAACTTACCTTTCTAATGGTGTAGAGTGAGCTAACAATGGATATTACAGACATAATCACAATTGCTAATGCATAGTAGTGATACTCATCAGTGATCCACAATATCACACTGAACAACTGGAAAATGTAAAAAGGGTTGAGAACCTAGAAGAGTGACAGAACATTCTTGTTACAACAAAAGGTCACATGGGTTCTCCATCAGAACAAAGCCGAAATTATCCTCCTCCAGGGAGAAGACAAGTTCAGTTCTTTATACATAATTTTTCATTTGCCAAAATTATCCTTTTTTTCACTACCTCCTCAGCCCCTCAAAATCAGAGTTCTCACTTAAGTAACACACAAATACAGACTTTGAAGACTGCATGCCTTTTCCCCTACACCTCAAAACAAGGTAATGTGAATATCTGATGGCACCTTAAGTTATAATTCTTAAACCAATTTGGATGTTATTTTCTATTCATTCTTAATAAATGCCCTGATACCTCAAGTTCTTACTCCGTTAGATCAGGTTGGAGAGTTTCTTTGTTCAGAAGTTCTACTGTGCATTATTATAACACAAGATAACAAATCAGTTATTCAAATCCACCTGATACAAGGAAAACTGAATAAATTCAACAACACTACATTTGATTTGCTGAATATGTTGTAATATATAATCCCTGGCCTCCTGATGGAGAACATAAGTCATTTTATGTTTTAAATTAACTACAAAAAATAAATAAGATGCTGACCCTTTCAAAGAATTCTGATATGTTTTCTAATGTCCTCACAAAGGCACCAGGTTGTGAACTCTGGAGAGCTTATAGCTGAGGCCTCTTTGATCTTTAGCTCTAAGGAGAGCTGGAGAGCTCAAAAAAATTGTCCATGATTTTGTTTTACAATGCTGGGTTCTAGGGGAACGTTTCCAACAGTCAACAGTCATTGCACCTGAAACAACTTTCAATTATATACTTTTTTCTATAATTTGTTAAAGAAAAGATTTTACCTCCTTAACCAGAAGCTTAAAAATGGAAGGCACTTTCACAGCAATTTCATTTACTCCATAGAATGCTTTTCTGCATTAAAAAATAAAAATACAAAAAAAAGTTAAGATTTTTTAGGAGCCTTATTGATGTCAAAGGAATTCTGCTAATCTGATAAAGTATAACATGTCCCAAATTCTGTGACTCTCTTTTTATCATAGTTTCAAGAAGTGCTTTTCAGAAAGCATTTACCTAGTGAGATGTTCCAATACAAAGATAATTATTTTATACTTCAATTTAAACTGTACCTTATTTTTTAGATTCTTCCATAACAAGATTTTTCTGTAAACTGTGTATGAGTCCAATGTTATTAAATATGTCATTTTGAAATGCAGTATCTGATTCTCATTAGCTTAAGCTTAAACCAGTGTTAACTCTGACCCTGCAGTAAGACAATGTTTTCAAGGTCCTGTATCTTAGTTTTATTCTTAGCATGAAAAAAAGGCAAATCATGAAAGAGGGAGCAAGAAACCAAGCCCTAATGGAATCTGAGCTGATTAAATGACAGTGACATGAAAAAGCCCTTAAAATTATCTGAGGAGAAAGGCTTCTATTTTAGACATAAATTGCCAGAAGATGAATTGATAAGCAAGCAGATGCTCCCATATTCTAATCTCATTTTCAAAAAAAATCAGACACTGATCACTCAATTGTCTTCTGGGCTTTTTACCACCCTGAGCACAGGTAATGAAACATCAACAACTCTTCCCTCAAATACTACTGCAATATTACCTGTAATCATGCACTCCTTTTGTCAGTCCTGTGCTGTGTTCATTATGAATTGCAGAGCAGAAGGTAGATTCATCTAGACCTCTAAATAAAGGAAAAGTCAATGAGTTATTTAAGAAATTTGATATTTAAAATTAAGTCTTGAGTGACTCAAAAGAGCTTTGCCAAGAGGTATACACTGTTTTATAAAACAACAAAATCTATGGACTAATTTGTTCTTAACTGGTCTTGTCACAACTGCAGATACCAGTGACACATTAAAAGCAATCTTCTTGTTGATATATCTTACTCTGTAAGGTGGTCATACCTATTCCAATCAAAATGGAGACACTTAAAAAATGAAGCAGAATACTAGCATAACTAGTATTCAAAGGCTTTTAAAAAGTGAGCAAGTTTCATAAAATGTTATATGAAATCAATGTGGATTAACACTTCTTCTAATTATCTTCATTTGACTCTAAGTAGTAAAGGAAGTTTTTTTAGAAATAATTATTAATCAATTTATTAAATAAGTCTATACCACAGCTATTTTACAGCATCTTACTATCACAGTGTTATTCATGACAAGTAAAAATGCATCCTACATTTTCAGTTCTTTCTTATCACCAGAAGATTCATTTTCACAGGACTTCTCCACATGCTGTGAAAGCCAATGCTGTGCTTTAGGAAATCTACAGATATGCAGAAAAATCTAAAACATTGTTATGTTTACAGCTATGGGATTGTGGTAACTACCTCATGCACTAAATCAGATGTATGCTGCCCCATATCCAGGCATTTTCTCATGGACATACTGTGGATGGACAGGAAAATATCACTTTCCAAAAGGCTTTCACAAACATCCTGACACAACCAGCATTATTCCACACTAATGTTTCATATATTGGATATCTATTAACTTATCTGTCAAAAAGGATTCAGAGTTGTCCCAGTAGAAAAAAAGAAAAAACCCAACTCTTTATTGTGCACATTTCGTAACAATTATTTCCATTCTCTAGAACACAGGGAAAGCTTTAAATATCCTCACTACAACAAAGCCTAGGATCACGTTTCCACCAACTGCTTGTACAAGAACAGAGATGAAAATTATGTGTTAACTTGGCCCTAGGTTTACCAGGTTTCTCTAAACTTTTTTAAGTTCAAGGATTTAAAAAATACTATTTTAGATTTAAAAATACACAAAACTCTGTTAATAGCTGTGTCTTTCCTCCCACTCTACCAACAACAACTTTTCTTTTCCTGTAGGAAAAGAAATGTAACAGTGGATTTAAGGAGGGTCCCTAAATTTAAGTGCTTTATATGCAAACATGCATACCTATGTGTGCAATGTCCATGCAAGGACAGAGCTTCTAGCACGGTGTTCTCTGCTTTTTACACTACTGCTACAGACTGAATTCCCAGGGCATTAAAATCCCCATGTGCACAGTTTATTACATAAAGCACTCATCAACCCACTCAGAAATTCAGTTGACAGTAGCTAAAGCAAAACAGACATCCAAGGTCAGAGTTGCATCCTCTTTGGCTATGTGACCAAGTCTGACTTAGTCCAAGAACAATTACACTTGCATTTCCTGTGTTTAAAAAAGTGATCTTAATATTATGGTAATATAAAAAGAACAATGATATGAAACTCAAGCTCTCATAACTGAATTAGTTGCCCAAAAAATCTTAATTTGCTCCCCCTCCTGTGTTGTGCTAAACCTTTCATGATGTGATCAAACTGTTCTGTCTCTGAGTACTTGCGTAAGCAGCAGCCCAAAGTGAATGCTCCTCATGATGCAGTCTTGTGCTTAGATCACAACTACAAACATTCTGCCTGCTTGAAGGGTTTTGCTATAAAGACCTCTGTCTCACAGACTGTCTCTTTATAAATATTAACTTGATTCTTTACCATGTTATTTGGTTTATACATATAAACTGAAGAGCAGAATAAGAAGACTTATCTTAGAGAAGGACAAATTTTTCAAGACCTCATTTCAGAATATTTATCATTCACAAGCTCAGATATTATTTTGCACATGGTATCTAGTACTTCACTAGACGACCATACACTTTAGAGGAAAGTTGTAACAAATTGGCATTTTTATCTGACCTTGTGGAAAAGTGACTTAGTGCTCTAACAGTATCCAGTATGTCTCAGATCCACTTCTTTCTCCTCTTTATTATTCAATAGCTAAATAATCCTGTCCAGCTCAGCTACTGTACCTGACTAAACAAGTGGCCAGGCTCAGTCATGGCTAATACATCAAACAAATGAAAGTTTGGCTTATCAGCAAGAATGTGATTGAATAAATGCTCACATAACTTCACAGGCATATCTGAGATTTTTCCAGGGCTTATAAATTGGCCAAGTTATCACAAGAACATCAAAAGGCACAGTCAAATAGCCACAAATGCCAAGTTTCAAGTCACTGCTTTAATGCTAAGGAACAACATTTTTTTCTAAACATATGAAGTCATATGATTTTTTTTTCCAATACCTGCTCTTAACATACAAGTACAGTTTCTTAATCTCATCTGTGGGAACTATTCCCTTTGAACAGTTTAAATTAGGAGCACTGTAGGCATGAAAACAGGAGCCTGCAATGCAAAATGATGAGTGTCACTACCTGCACAACTGTATTTCATGGGAGGCTTAACACAAAAAATGCATACAAAGCTTTTAATTACTTACTCCTGAGAACTGAGACATTTCCACCCTCTCAGATGAGGACTGCTCACAGTTTTGTAATTGCTTGTGCTATAGTAATTTCTTAAAATTGTTTTCATTGTTGATAACTTTCCATATTATCTGCACACACTTTCTTGGGAAAAAAAATCCATCTCCACACGATGGTTCAATGCAGTACACACTAATTCAAGCTTAAAATAGATTTTATTTGTGATCTGAATTTATTGTTTTAATGGGCAGTTGCCAAAAATAGAGAAGCCTGTGCTTATTTAACTTGTGGCATTATGAGAAGGCCTTATCACAGAAAGAAAAAAACTTTCTTCTTCAACCCTAACATCATGCAACAGTGTTGCTGGACAAAAGAAAATACAGTGCAACACAAGCTAGTGCTGCCCACTAAAAGACATTTTTTATCAGTGCAATAGACCTGTTTTTGTTACTAAAGAGTAACAAAAGATGGATCAGATCCAGCTCAACTGCACTAAAACATAGAAACAGACCTCCACAAACATGAGCAAAAAAGGTATTTGGTGAATTCCTCTTCTTCCTATATACTCTTTTTGGGTCTAGTTCAGCAACACAAAAAATGTAAGTTATTTCATCATAAGCAAAGGGTTTGAGTGTTTATAGAAGTACTACTGTCTATGAACAGGTGCTCTGATTCTCAAGTAACACTCCAAGAAAAGGCAAAAAAGCCTGCAGAAGCATGCAGCCTGCCACCCTACACAAATCACATTTGAGAAAGGCAGATTAAACAAATCTTCCTTCCAAATTTGCACTGAGTTAAAATCTCCCTGCCCTCACTATGGTTAAAACAAAGACTCAGTGAGCTAAAAGAGCTGGTCAGAAAATAACACCAATTTTCAGCATGTTCTTAGGCATGCTTTTTTATTTTTTTTAAATACAGTTTGAAGCACAGCACATAAGAAAAAATATTCTTACCGTACAACATCAAAACTTTGAACTGAATCATTCCAAAAATACTTCACACTGTGATGCGTGAAGTAACGAATCTGTAAGGGCAACAAAACATAGATGTCAAACTGGTACCACTTAACACTTCTCTTCTGACTGACTTTATTCTGAGAGGTGACAGAAACTGAATTTAGAAAAGCTTCACTGAAAAATGAGTACTTTTCTTTCAACATAATCTTTCAAGCTTTCCACAATTTCCAGTAACAGGTTATTGAGGAGATTTCTGTTCCACTCAAAAATGAGTTAGCAGCTCACATGTACTGTACCGTGTGTGTTTATTCTCAATAGTACTTGAGAATTAGCCTGCACAGTATTACAAGTTTACTTACAGGCAAATGTTTTCTCGAATCATTTTTATTCTCTTCTGCAGCAGATTCAGAGAAATGAACAGCATGGCCATTTGAAACCTTGTGCACAATAGGGTTAGGATTCTGTAAAGGACTGGCTCCCAAGGAAGGCATAATGCGAACCTTTGCACAAAACCATATCTTGAATTCATCCTTAAAAAGACAGGGGAAAGTGAGTTAGCTGAAAGAGCATCTGAACAGCATTTTACAGCATTTTGCTACAACAGCTGTAGCAAAATCACAGATCATAGATTAGCAGCAGAGCCCATACAGAATTACAGAACATATCTCCATGTTAATATCAGCTACCTTAACAATAACTTTCTTTCCACAATTCTAAAAGCATATTTTTGCACTTAAGTCAGCAGTTACACCTAACTTCAACAAATGTATCTTTGCTGAACAAGGGAGGGGAAACCATGTTTCAGCTTATAGGAACAAGGTATTTGTTCGACAACAGCATTCCTGTATTTGATTCTTACAGCTGAAAGACAGACTATGCTACAGCTGTCAGCCTCCCCACAGAGGAGCTACACACAGGAGCACCATCCTGCACTGCAGTAAACAGTCATGCCTGCACTGCAGGGCAGGGATGGGTGTACTCCAGCACCCAGAAGGAATTGCACATCCCCTGCACACTTACAGTCGTTCTCAGCAGAACCACCTCACAGTCCCTAAGCGTCGTCCTTCTGCACGTGGCTTTCACACGCCACTGGGGCATCCAGTAGAGGAGGAGGAGAAGAAAGCCACCAGAGCAGATCACTCCCACAGTAACTAGCACCAACTTCCAGCGACACAGATCATAGCCATAGATCTCCTGCATGGCAGTAAAACAAGCAATGATGACTCTCTTAATTACTGTGCCTGGGATGCCGACATTAATTTTTCATTATGTGCAGTATTTAAAGCAAATCAAATTTCCAAGCCATTTCCTCTTTTTTGCTTTTCTGGGGGAAGGAAAGATTTGGAACACTAAATACATGGTGGAGTGGAAGCAAAAAGTAACACTGTTTTGCTTAGTCAGAAATATAAACATCAATAAAAGCCTGACAGAGGCAGATCATCCACACAGTATAAAACATTTCATTGCAAGACTGTCTCCTCTCTGCATTGCTCCCTAAGGACTGAGATTGCAACACAACCTGCCTTAACTCTCAGTGAACAACAACACTTTTGACCATGACACAGCACAAGTCAGCTGAACATTTAAGAGCAGAAGTGTGTGGTTTTGTCAAATGCTGATTTTATGACACAGCATTTGATTAGCTAGCACTCACAGTTTTGAATCACTACTGCAGGCTGAATTTTATACATTCTAAAAAAGCCCCTAAATATATCAAACATCACTTTCTAGTAGAGAATTTTGCTTATTTTGCCTGCCATTTAACAAGAAATGCTGATTTACCAACTCCAAACCACAGTCAAAGGTTCCGTAACTTGCACCAGTTAGAAAAATTTTTCTCCCATGAAAAAATTCCCAAGTATTCAGTGTGCAAGCACCAAGTTAACTTGATGACAGCCAGGAACAGAAAATAATTTAGTGATTTACTGGACACTGTGTTACATTCCTGAGTTTCACATTACATCATTAGATTATATTTCCTGCTGTAAAAGGGTAATGAAGTTTCCCATTGAGTCCCACCCATTGTTCATACTGACATGAACTTCTTGGATGTTTTTTTCACTTTTCATTAAACAGTGTTAGAAATTGTTTAAACTCCTTTCCTAAGAAAAGGCTTTTCAAAAGTTTGGTTTGCCACCTTCTCTGATGACAAAAAGCAGAAATAAAGCCCAATCTCTCTTACCTGGAAAACACTCTTCAGCAATAAAAATAGGAGAGTGAAAGATGGTGAGAGAAGTTAATACTTCTTTTTAGGAGAAAATAAAATTATTTCTTCAAAAAAAAAAATTAACTTCAGTGAACAGGCCACAAGCACCTCCTGTTCTAAGATGCATTTGCTTACTTTCTGTATTAGAGCTGTCTAGTGAAGAACTGCTTTTCTTAGCAGGGTGGACAAGGACAGAAAAGAACTTCAGTTCAGAGAAACATATCTTTTTCGGAAAAAGAAATCCCTATATATACCAAATGGACTAGAAAAATCCCTATGAAACCAAAGTGGGCTAGAAATTGAAAGATCAGTTGCTTGTACTTTCCTGTCAAAACTTACAGCTTTGAATCAAATTATGAAGCATTAATGGTAATAATAAAAAAAAACAAAACACAACTCAGTTTGTTTCCATTTTCATGTGTAAAAGTAGAAATGTTAAAGCACCAAAATGTGTTACCTATTGGACTACTGACCTTAACAAAAACCTTTCCTCCCCAAGACTAATTTCTTAATACCAAAAAATATTGCCAAGGATAATCCTATCAAATTGCTGAACTGATTTAAATTGAGACAATCCACTCCCCAATATAATATGCTGCCTTTAAGCAAAAAGCACTGAAAATGCATTTCTTTCATTGTATAAAAAAAGTTTAACAGAATTCATTACCATCTCATCTTCCTCTGCTTTATTGACATATTTCTTTTCTTCTTTCTCCATGTTTAGTATGATATGGAACTTCTCGACTTGAGATATGGAAGACCTTCAACAAGACAAGAATTAAAAATGGAAGCAACATTACTGATTTTACACCTAAGTTTTAGGTGGTTTCAAGTTACTTTTGGTAAGTGCGTACATAAAACATAACACTGACAAAATATTAATATTTATCTTTAGTTTTCACTGTTACTAGTTTCTAGAAGTAACTATCCAAGGAAGTCTATAAAGCTTTATGATTGAACATCAGATGAATATAAGTGAAATACTGCAGAAACATCAGGCTTTAAAAGAGGAGGCAGAAGCTTGTACCAATTTAACTTGGCTACATTCTACATGCAGCAAGCAGTTTTTGGTACATTCTACAAGCTTCATGATGGAAATATCAATTACTCCTTTAAAAAATCAAACAAACTTAAAAGTAGGTTAATATTACACATTTGTATCACTCTATATGGAATAGCTACAATCAGAAGCTTTCAGAAGTCAGGGTATCCTTCAAGAGGAAAGGCACAGTACCCCTGAGATCTACACTTCTCATCTGAGCAGAATAAATACTTGCTTAAAAACATTTAGTCCCCAGTTTACTATTTCTAAATCAAGACATGCTTTTTGGTCAGTCTTTCCTTTTTGGTCAGTATCTCCCCTTCTTTCCAATTGCTCTACTATTCAATTTGCATCAAAATCTCTCAGTGCTAATCTTGAAAGGTGCTTTGAGGAGAGATTATGATCACCATTTTCAAGAATCAGAAAAGAGTCAAGATGGAAAAAATATGGCACTGTCTGCAAGATGAATGTAGTGCACACAGATCCCTACTCCAAAAGGGGAGAGCTACAAGCAAAGGTTAAATACAGTGAGGCTTATCAGAATTTTCCTCATCACATAAGCAAGAAAAATCAAAAGTACCATGTCAAATAGCCAAATTTTTGAAATTAAAACTGCACCTAACCTTCATTTGGACGCCCCGTACATGTTAATTGTACACAATTTATAATTAATGCACAGGAACAAAAAACTACCACAATTAAAGTCACTAAATAGCCAGTGCTCACCTGCCAACACATAGATTAACTACAAATCTCTGCACTGACATGGTACAGCCTTCAATTTTATTCACTGCATATACATAAATCTCTCTGAAGACAGCACTTACTACCACAGCTTATAACCAGTCCTGAAGTCACAGCACAAGCAGCTACTCTAATTGTCCTTTTTCAGGCTGTTATTAATAAGTACATATTATTAATAAATAAAGTAAATAAGTACAATCACTACCAACTTCTCTATCATTAACTCCCCAATATTTTCACAAACCAAATCTGCAGACTACAAGTCAGGTCCTCTCCAAGCCAGCCCCTGGATCCATGCACTTACATTCACCAGCAATGCCAGCTTTGAGGGATCCCTCCTCCCATCTCCTGCAGCTTATCTACAGCATCACATCCACACGTGTTTTCTGCCACCTACCACCTCCTTCCCACTTAACCCAATAAATGAAGCAGGAACCCAAGAGGAAAGATTTATTTTACTACTCAAAACTGGATCTCCTCAGAAATCTATTCCCACTGCTGAATAATGTCCTAATAGAAGAAACACACTCAAAGGAGAGTCACAAAGCTGAATCTCAGGTGAGAAGCTCAGTACTTCATAAATTGATACAGCTGGCATTTTGTTCTGAATGGAAGGAAGCTAACTTGGCAACAACTGCCTGCTTTGATTGGAACATCAGCTCACACTTCCCTTGACTTGTTAAGCTAAAAATTTTCTATTGCTACACTATAATTTTACTGCAGATTTATTTGGAAATTAAGCAACACAAGTTATTAAAGTTCTAAACCACACTTTCACTTAAATTGCCACTTTCCTTAGCTAAGGAGGTTTCTATCCTGGGAAAGATGTAGATAATACATAGAACCAGTGAAAATCTGTCCTAAATCTACAAAGGACTGCTAAGAAAGCTCCTGAGGACAATCTTTGAATTAATTACATCAAACAACTTTATGTACACCACACAAATCACATTTTCAATCAAGAAGTCATACAGCCAGAAAATGTTCTGTGTATTTACAGAATTATACTCCTAATAGAGTTCACATGTCTAGGAAAGATTTATTAGGCTAATCATACTTGAGCTAGTCTGCTCTTAAACAAGCACACACTTCCCTGCTATGATGTACAGTAACATCAAAAAGGGTCCTGCAGGCATCTCTCCAACCTTGATGGACATATCAAGTAGGAAATTGATACAGGAAAGCACCAGGCAGAAAAATAAATGCAAATAGCTTCCAGATCAATGGATCTCAACTGAGATTTCCATTTGGCCAATATGTCAGCACAGGGACTTCATGGGACACCACGGCAGTGTGAGAAGAAAGTGCAATTGCCTTCATTTAAGGCAATGGGAAGGAACATCAAGTTGTGGGTCTGAAGAAGTATGGAAAGAAATCTCAGCACTAGCAATAATTCCTATGATTCAGTAAGCTCTTTGAACAGCTGGGTAGAATCAGACAGGGAATACATGAGGAGAATTAGGAGGCTATTTCTGACTCACATCATTAGCTCCATCTGCATTATTTTATACAGTCTCATTTACTGAACAACCTTCAACTAACACACATTCTCAACATGGTACATACTGCTGGTAATTTTCCATATTAAAGTCCAATTCAAATCTCTAAACTTCAAAAGCATTATAGAAATATTTTCTTCATTGATGGGTCATGAAAATGATTCCTATTCCACAACAAAGAACTGCAGTCCCCCTCATATCATATCTCTTCTGGCACACCATCAGCCCAAGCATGTCACCTTGAGTTCAAATGGGCAAGTTCTTTGGTTTGTGTCCCACTGCCCTGCTGAAAGCTGGGGCTGAACATCACCACATGGTTCTGCCTCCCTGGGTGACTTCAGGCTGCTGGGTCAGACTGAAAAAACCTTACCAACTCACAAGAGATTTTAGCAATCTGCATCTGAGTTTTACTTCCTTCCTTCTATAATATGATGGAAGTTTTATAATAATAAAACATTTCACTACTTTAAACCTTTAATTAAAGATTTAAATATAAACCTTGGTCTTTCCAGAGCAAGTGAGAGAGTATGACATTTTACTAGTACTCAAACTTAAGTGAGGTGGAAATCCACTTGCAATAAGCAATATGAACCTGGGGATATCCAAATATAATGTGCCTCTGATGCACATTACAGGCTGCCACTCAGCCTCTCTCTGGCCCTCAAGTGAATAGGCAAAGAAATCCTCTGCCCCTTTTAACAAATTGAAAACAGCAACCTTCTAAAGAAAGAAGACTTATAACCAATAGAAATGCTGAAGTTACTACCGCTCCACTCATAATTTTTACTTATTGCATTGCTATTGTATAACTAAGCATATTCTAGAGTCAGAGCAGTAGGAAATATCAAAAAGGTCTGCAAAAGAAAAGGCGGTTTGCCACTGAAATGATAATAAAATCTCTTGTAACATTTTGTAACAATGTAGGTATAAATTTAACAAATGGTCTAGAGATCAGCTGAACAGTGTCTGAACTCTAAGTACTTCTAAGAGCATACATTTGAGTCACAAGCTCAAACACTAAATCTGCAACCCTGCAAAACACAGTATATAAAAATTAAGTTGAACAGCATTTCCAATTAGTTACTGTCCTGAAGAGTGTGCAGCTGTGAACAGGACAGCACCTGCGGCTTCAGATTTAAGTTGATACTATTTTGAAGCTAAAATAAATCACAAATTGGATCACTGAAGAAATTACAGCAGTGTACATAAAATTATATGCATCCCTCATAATGAAGAAAATGCTGCACTTTTTCTCAATTACTACACCACTCCATAATTGTTCATCTATCCTGACTAAACAACTAGGATATCAAGCAATTGTACCAAAATATTTGTAAGTAACAAACATTTGTAGCAACAGTATAAGAGGTGCAAGTGAAGTCATGGTGTATTTATTAAGGAAATTGTTCCAAAAGCACCAGAGCAAGTCTCCATCAGTACACCTGAAGATTTCTGCAAGCCACACTTCCAAAGGACTACTGCCTTTCCTCAAGTCAGTTTTCTAACAGCTGGCATAATTAGTAAACTACTTCAGTGCAAATTTTACCCTTAGAGTTCCATTTTTGGGGTGGGAAGCAAAGACAGTCTTCTCTCTGTTGCCTTCAGCATTTCTCCCAATTCCACAATCCTTAAAAACTAAATAATACACACGTTGTTGCTGTCTGTTTATTCTTCCAGTTTTTCAATATAAGTAGCAGTTTCATAGCTTCAAGAGAAAATTTTTAAAGTCTGGACAAATTACAACTCCAAAAGAATAAACTTTTGATATCTCCTGCAACCACTGGATAATTTAAACCCCAGATTTCTCAGATTAAAATATAATTTTTAAAGCTGAAGTCTTTAATAAAATCCATGTATGGATACACATAAAAAATCATCAAGTTACTAATTTTGCTTATGCTCTTATAATCTGTCTGCTTAAAATACGTGAGTAAACTTACACATTTGTATCTTAAATGCTCCCTATTTTATTCTTTTCAGATTTTTGTAAGAAGTCCAGTGATAACTGATAGTTTCTCTTACCAACGAGCAGTCCAGCAGCTGTCCTCTGCACTTGCTTTTGTTACCATGAGTTAGCGAGGCAGCTCTTAATAACGGAGACCCTATCTACAAGGGAAGTCCTGACAAATGAACTATTTTGTCTAAAATCTAAAAAAAGTCTCCAAGGGCTTTTCAAACTGTTATCAAAAGATTAACATATCAAAGAAAATTTGGCACTGCTTGGAATGCTTTTTTTTTTTTTTCCTCTTCCCTCCAGAGTGGCCGAACAATTGCAAGACTGTGGCCGGGCTGGCGCGGAGGCTGCGCTTCCAGGCATCGGCCGCCCGGGCCAGCTCCTTCTATTCAAACAACAAATGCCTCCCCAGGAGCTGCAGACACTCGCAGGGCTATGCACAAGCCCTGATACTATCTGCCCAGCTAAAAGCATCTATGCTGCTGACCAAACCCTTCCTTGTATTTACAGCGCTTGTGAGTG